TCAAATCTGGCGAGTGATTGATGTGGAGCCTGCCTCCTGAATTTTTAGCGGCCCATTATTATGAAAGGGGGGGGGGGGGGCTGCAGCATGTCTGTGTACTTTTGATTAAAGTTGAAGAGGACAGAATCATAAGAGTTCCCCACCTACTTTCTTCTCCTGCAGAGCTTAATCTGTGAGGCCAAGTGCTGCGGAGATTTCAGCATGTTATAGATATTGACACGTCGTTCTCGCACAAAAGCCGAGGCAGATATGCTTGTTAAGATTTTAATCTAGTTTCATTTGCTGTTAATTCTTAGTGAGTGTGATGAGTACACTGGAGTTATTCTAGGATCTACATGTACCTTGGCAAAGCTCTGTTTGTAATCCAGGAGACAGTGTCGGTCCACAGCTGGAATATAACAGCTGCCAGTTTTGATCATGATGACCTGATAAGTGATTATGATTCTAGCAGCATCACTCCCGATCCATGGAATCAACTATTTATGATCTTTCTTATGACAAAACATCAGTTTGCTTCAAATAACAAATGAAAAGGACCCAAAAAAACAACGACATGCAAAACAGAAATCTTCAGAAATATCACGTCCTATTTTGTCATGAAGAGATTTTCTGTCCTTGATTTGTTTTACACAAATATTCCTTCACATTTCACACTGAATTCCTCCAAATCACATGTGGTAATTTTAGTCAGAGCAACAAGACAAAGAAACGTCACGCTGAAGGCTGATGCTTCTCTTAAACATGCTCATCAGTCCTAAATGTTGGACACCGACGCTGTTTGATGACACTATGCTGTTATAGCACAGCGATTTCCCTAGTCGGTTGCCTTTGTCCTTCACAACCAGAGGACACTGGTCACGAATCCAGCCGATCCACAGGCTCCACGAGAAGCAGTAAACCAACAGTTCCAGAGGGAGTTGGCTTTAAACGCTCCACTGCTGTCCCTGTAATGCATGCATTTTAATGTGGGCCACTGCTGGACTGATGTTTGCATTCAGCTGAACTCTTTCAGTCAGCAACTCTGTGCAAGCCATAACTCACAGTGAGTACACTGTGTGTATGCAGCAGACTGTTTTCAGTGTAGTCTTGAAGTAATCAGTCAGTCAGTCACGATGCTACAACACACAGCCCTCCCTGCTAGTATGCTAACACTTACTAATTAGCAGTAAACACAGGTGCAGCTCAGGCAGTGAATGTTGTTCGTTTTCAGGTATGAAACTTTGACCTGATCGTGATGTAAGATTAAAGGTCAAAGTTATGATGGTTCATCCAGGGACCATGCTTCACATCAATCATCCAATGTTGTTGAGATGAATCCAAGAAAAAGACCATAACTGTCAATCTGGACCAAAGTGTTGGGCCAACGACTGACCTAACTCACACCAAAGACACAGTAACAGCTGACAGCGACTCCTTGCTGGCCGGACCGGCCCGCTCCTCCAGAATGCCATGTGGACCTGCTCCTATAATTTCCATGCCAGTCAATGACCTATAGTAATAACTGTGATGTATGACCAGAGATGTGACACCTTGGTTGCTGACCTTTCCCACAATCCCACACTGAGCAACCTTCCCCACCAGGCCCCACCTCTCCCCTTCCTCCACCAGCTCTATTTATGGGGCCTCCATCCTCCCTCGTCCCCCTCGTTCTTGCATCTTGTCGTTGGCTTGATGTACGTGGCTCGCCACACTCCAGTGGCTCTATGAATGTTAATGTGGGGACGGGGGGAGGGATGAGAGGGGAGGGAGGAGTGGCTGTGTGATGCAGGGAGCACATTCACCTGGTCTGCAATGCACAGCTACAAGGAGCTTTGTGTACATTATTATTCATAGTAGCTGAGCTATGTTTCCCTTGTGTTAATATCTGACACTAATTTACAGTGGAGTGCATGAGCAGCAGGATTAGGACAAATAGTGAGCTAGTTACTGTGCTCTCAGCTCCAGCATCATATTGATTTAGTCTTGGAGATGAACAACAGACGGCACAATGATGAGGAGCTCCACGGATCTCTTTGTTCAAACCATAAAAACAATGTTTTTGTTTGTGAAGATGAAAACATTTTGTGGGTGATGAGCTCGTAACGTCAGACCTCTGTCTTGTTCTGATGCCGTCTTTGTCTCCTGTCTGCAGCAGGTTTCTCTTCCTGTGATTTATCCCTCCTCTCTGGTGTTCGGTTAGTCCTCAGCAGTGTTTACCAAGCTCTGGCAGAATGGAAATGTGTGCATTATGTGGTGATAATCACAGGGTGCAGTAATCTTTGACCCTTGTGGCACATTTCAAACATGGATGGGAGATTAAGCCTCTCATGCAGCTGGCTGACAGGCTGCCTTCGTGCCCCTGGAGAGATTCACTGCCTGACTATAACTCAAATACAGATCCAAGATACAACACATTATTTACTTTCAGTTTCATCTATTGATGGAAATTGCTGTTCAGAATTTTGTTTTGCCCTTTAAAATTTAGGCCAATCAGACAGAATAAATCATGAAAGACTGACATACGTGGGAAATCTCACTCCATAAAACTATATGCAAACAAAGCCACCAGTTTGACATCAGTGTTTTACTGCCTGCCACAGGTTCAGCTCAGACCCTGGGTCTCAGTCTGGGAACATTTGATTAAACTGTATCACATTGTTCTGGGCACTGAATGAAAAGGAAACAGGCTGCTGTCAAATTCATGTGAAGTGGGATGCTAGTGATGCAAAGGTACTGGACATGTTGACTTATGGACTGTGTGTGTGTGTGTGTGTTTTTGTTAGTTTTGTTTTGTTCTTTTTTGAATCAAAAGTTTTCCTCTGATGCATAAATGTCTGTTTATCAACTCAACTACTTCATTCATGATGTACAAACTGCTGAATTATGAGCTTTCACAGTTCTGTAAATGTTTTATTAAATCAATTTCAATAAAGGAAATAATGAGCTGTTGAAGTTTTGACAGTTTTAATTATTCATGACTTAAATAAACACAAATAAAAGTACTGAATGAATAATGAATAAATAAACACATATAAATAAAATAAATGTTGGTGATATGAACGGTGCCAGTGAAGGGCTTTACCGTGCTTCTGCTTCCCAAAACATTACACTTTTAGAATACTACAAGTACACTTATACATATACACATATATCTTACGTTGAATGCAATAAAAATATATGTTGTAAAATGACACATAATACATTAATTACTTAAATTAAACTTCACCATTGTACAAGCTTTATTACATTTATGAAAAATATACTTCAGCCCACAAAATAGTGCACTTTGACTTCATGTACAACTTGAGTTATATTGCTGTTGTAATGAACTAATGTACTAGTGGTAGTCCACTAAAAATAGATTCACATCATTCGATAACTGGTAAATAAAAATAACTTTACTCACATATTCAACTCACTTTATATTCTTTTCATATACTGTAAATGTAAACTCCTTTTTTACTACACAGTATATTGAACAGTTCATCAGTTTTCTTTATTTGGAGAATAAATATATTTTGGAGGTGCTTAGTTATACGGCCACAGATGGTCTCATGTGAAAGGACAGGAATTCTATATGAAGTTTCCTTGAGGTGATGGAAGCAGCGTTATGACCCAGAGTTCATCAGTCTCTGTCCCAGACTCAACTCATCTGAAAAGTGTCTTTGTGCGACTGTGCTGCTCACACTTTACAGTATGGTAGAAGAGTGACGAGGCGAGCTGACAGGCGGAGATGAGATGAGCTCTTCAGAGTCTTCAGCCTGGAGAGGAGGAGGACAGCTGGGGCCTGGCACTCCCTCTGTGTCGCTCCACTCTTTGTCACGGCCAAAAGACTCTTGTTTTCAGGCAGTAATCAGACAGCCCTGGGGCTCTGTAAAGACCCTGTTCGCTTTTCATCTCAACTGTTGCATACACCCCACTAATTGGAATCCTGCAACTGGGTCACAGGCATTGTCTCTCAAGTGCTGTCAAGTCATTGAGACGCATGAATGTGGAATTCTGGTCGCCTCAGATGCATGATTGAGTCTCTCTACACCAGGACTGATGTTGTCCCTGTTTTTACATTAACATTTCTTGCTGTTCCTTCCTTCACTTTGACCACATTTCTGTTTCAGGCCAGCCGTCACAGGAACAAAGTAAATCCAACATCAGCTTGGTTTTATTGTCACATTTTAAGTATTTCTGTTGAGGCCAACGACTGTTTCAAGACTGTTGACGCGACTTAATTTTTATTATTATTATTATTGTTAATGTAAATCAGCACTGGCCCACACTGTAAACTAGAGAAAGGACAGTTATCAGTTTCCTGCAAGTTTCACCTACAAAACCTCTTCCCTCCACTTGAGTGGAGGAGTTGAGCAGCAACCTGAATCTGAGTTTGTCAGTGATTAAAAGAAGAATTAGCCGCCTAGCATGCCACCACAAATGAGCAAAACCCTCTGGGAGACCAGAGAGACCAAGCAAGGCACATTTCCAATTATACTGCCAAATGACTCATTTTCTTATTGGGCCTCCTATAATTGTGGTGGGTATTGGGTGCATGCAACTCAATTTGTCTTACATATTTGTTGGTAGGACAGTAATAGAGTTGACAGAGCCAAGGGGATGATATGAATGAGTGAGACAAAATAAAAAAAAAAAGGGATGAGATAGATCCCTCAATATTTGTTTGATCTGTTTCATCCTCCTTAAGACTGTTGAAGTTTAACAGCCAGGAAGAAAATGCCACTTTAATCATCTGTGGATTGAGGAATGGGAAGACTATCATTTTCGAGTAATCAGAAAATGTCTCCCCAGAGTAATAGTCTTTGCTCTGACTGCTGAAATTAATGAGGCTTCCATTGATGTGATTATCTGTCCTGAGGATCGTCAATATATGAAAAATAATTGACAAATTAAATTACAGAAAATTCTTGGAAACTTGAGTTTTTGTTAAAAACACTTTCTTAGTTTTTTTTCCATGTAACAAAAACAGAGATTTCAAAGTTTTTGCACAAGCAGATTCAAACTAAGTTGGGTAAGCTTTATTAAATTTGCAGACACATTTAGAGCTCATCACTGTAAATTCTTCCCCATTGTTGTACAGGAAACAACCAGTTACTTATAAAGCAACTGGACTACATGTCAACATAGGCACATCAAAGGCACAGCATTGACCATGAAGCCATTTCACATCGCTAACATATGACACAGTGACCTATAGGATTGCATTTAACATGATGGTGCCGTTTTGCTATGATTATGTTCGCTATTGTTAAAAAAAATCCTTTTATGATACAGTTGCCTGCTCATTGGTAACAAACTCAAAGTGGAGAATAAGTGATTCAAGCATTGTTTTCAAAAATGAATATTAAAAAATAAGTAACATTTCATATACACAAAGGTACAAACTTTAAATAGAACAGTTAATGTGGATTACAGTAAAATTAGACACGTCTGACATGTAACATACAGTAAGTCCAGTGAACAGTAGCCTTTGTTTATTCACAAATATTTAATCATTAAGTCATCCAACTGTTGTAAATTCAAAAATATTTCTTTAGTTAAAAAAAAGAAAAAAACCCTCATCATTTAATAACTGGTTTCAGAAGCAACACAATAGTTGTCAAAATAAAAGTAATAACCCAAGGCTGTTTAAACCATCATGCTATTATCCACTCTGTTTAGTTCAATTATCAATTCCCATTTAAACTATTATTAACTGTATTACTGTCTGTGTTACCTGTGTGTGTGTGTGTGTGTGTGTGTGTGTGTGTGAGGGAACAGTTTGCAGTAAAGTGCACGTAAAGCAGCATGTGTGTGCTGAGAGAGTGAGAACAGAAGGGACAGCTGTGGTTTTGTTGTGAGGCGAGCTGCCCGTTGCTCACTGCAGGGTAACTGTGAAACAGTCGGGGTCTAAAAGGGACCTTGTCCCTGCTCCCTGCTGGGCTGTCCTGTCCAAATCTGTTATAGTGTTCCCTGTCTTTGTTCAGTAACTAAGTGCTCCCCACTCAGGAGTTTAAAACCCCCTTTTCTTGCTAATGCCCCTCGCGATGTGTTGTCATTATGGAGCTGGTCAACAAAACGCTTGCAAATCTTAACAAGCATATGTCGCAAACCAAGGTGCATTTTAAAATGACAACGTTCTACATTTACTGTGCAAACTCCAGTTCAAAAGAATGGAGGTCACTGATTATCATGGAAACATCGTTTGAGCCAACTGTGTAAACATGTTATTATATATTAATCACTAGATATTTCTTTAGTCATCTTTCAATTGCACTTGAGTACAAATACATGGACTTATCTAAACACTAACACACACGTAAGACAATCTACAAAATGTTATAAATGATGTCAGTCATCTGAACTCTTGCTTAGTGAGAATCATTGCCAACGGTTCATCAGTAACCATCACGTCGGCTCCTCCACCCTCAGTCTCGAGCACAGGCTCCGGTCAGAGCAGGAAGGCTGAGCCAGGCTCCTTTGGCTGTGGTTCTGGCCTGGACTGTGATTCAGCCAGGGAGGAAGGGAGGGGGGAGAGGCCAGGCTCGCATTAGGAGGAGGCCGTCTCCATAGTGGACAGAATACGGACCACCTCGGTTCTCTGTGTGGGAGAGATGTGCTGGGTCATGTGCACGATGGAATCCATGGCCACCTCTGGATTGGCTTGAACGAGGCTGAAAACAAAGAGAAAACAACGTCAGTGTGACGCAGGGAAAAGCTGGACTTCACGTCTGTTTGTCAGCTGACAGACAGAGGTAAAGACTCTTCACCTGCGAATCTGCTTGAGGATGTGATCACGGCGGATGTACTTGATGTTCTCGTCGATGACGGACCGCGCGCCCTCCTCTTCAGCTAACTGCCTCTCCAGCCATCCCACCACCTCTTCGTTGTTGTCCCACAGATAGGCCTGAAAAATGCAGAGAGGGGGAGGAAGAGTCTCTGTGAGCCAGACTCTAGTATTTATGGATAAATTAAGACTAGGAATCAAACTTTTTCTTATGGTGTGTGTGAACAAATGTAACAATAAAAAACTAGGAAACAATGAAAACTTGCATTTTAAGTATTTCATAAAACAGATAATAAATAAATAAATAAATGTCAACAGAGGAGATGGACAGGCGTAAAGTGGAGATGATCTGTTGACTGGACCTGATAGGAAAATTAGTATTCATGAGGGCTGGCATCTCTGATCCCAAACAAAGCCAGGCTGGAGGGCTTAGCTAAGATTTGGGGGTGGAGGGGCTTAATGGGCTCTTGCCTTTTTTATGAACAGTCCTGCTTGAGGTCCACAAGAACATTTAATGCCCTTATTAATCATTTTTAATCTGTTTGCTTTTAATTAAGAAACAGTGTGTTACTCTCCTATCTGCACGTGCCAGGGCTGTGATTAATTGTGGCTTAAGACAGCCAGTCCTGATTGGGATAATATATTAGCTAACAAGAGGGCCACATCTTAGGAGATCTCCAGCGCAGGGCCGCTTCATGTCACCCCTGCTGCTGGTCCCCTGAGCCTGAACCGGGCCGCAACGAACCGTTTTTATGTATCTCTGTGCGGCGTTTGTTTTCATTAACTGCCGGTCATCAGTTCATCTTTGTTTAATCACAATGATTTAACGGGGAAGATTTCTTCTTCTTCTTCTTTAACTGGTGGATAAGAGACGGAGTGTGAGGATAAAGAAACAGCCTCTGATCATTCCTGGGGCTGAGAAAGTGTAAACTGAGAACAAGCACACATCAGATTTGAGTTCACAATGAGACATTTAATACTGGCCTAAGAGAACACAGTTATTAAGCCTCACTCAAGTACTCACCACAAACGACTGGGTATAATGATGAAAGGTTCACATTCAATCTCTCGGCTTAACAACATTTTATAATGTAAGATGTCTGGAATCATTTTATGGTCGTTTGACTTTGTGAAACTCTTCAGTGCAAACGGCCACTTCAGCTGTGCTGGAGAAGCTGCACTAACTGACTTCTGTTTGTCGACTGACGGGAGGTGAAACAGCAAAGTGTACTGTAGGTTTATAATAAATTATAAGAGCAATGATATTTCTAATTCTAATCCAAATCATCTGTGTGTGTTGCTTTAAACTCTGAAGTCCTCAAACCTTAAATTCACAGGCTGGTAAATTCGATCAGATACATGACTTTTACCTTGACAGCTCCCTCGGCCTCCACGAACCAGCGGCGCAGCATGGCCTGGATCTGGCCGTCCGTCAGCTCGCTGTTGGCCGCTTGGATCTTCCTCTTCACCGTGTCCTCCAGCAGCAGACGCCGCAGACGCCAGTAGAAGAACTGACGGGACGTTTGCCATTCCAGGACATCCTGAGGAAGACAAAAGACGAGAATGAAGAACTGCCATCGCCCATGTTTGAAATGTTATTAGATACATGTACATATATATGTACATGTATTTCATATTGCTAATTTAAGGTGGAATATGGATCATTTCCTTCCTGTGCCAACCCATACCTGGGATGTCACACTGAGGCAGAGCTCACTGAGGAAATAAACTGTACTAGCTGGAAGATGTGCTCTACATGTAGCTGTTTATTTTCTCACACACTCTCAGGTTCAAAAGCAACTCACACAAGATGAGAGACTCTGCTTTAAAATAAATACACTCAATGTAAAGGACTAATTCAACTTTGTGAAAGATGGAAGATGAATCTGTTCATTTTGTTGTGTATTTCTCAGTGGGTTTCTCTGCTGATGAACCGGAGATGAACGTACACATCAGTTAGTGCTGATCTGTAAGTCTCTCCAGTCCTTACTGTGTGTAAAAACTCCCTGACTGCCATCCATCCGTGAAACACCCTTCTGGTCATGTGAGGAAAGTGTGTGTGTGTGTGTGTGTGTGTGTGTGTGTGTGTGTGAGAGAAAGATGGGGCTAGGGAGGCACAGAATGAGATGGGGCCCGCCCGAGGCTGCTCTGTGGTTGCTAAGGTGATTGACCAGGGTCATCAGAAGATAATTATGAGGACGAATCTCACAGCCTGGTGAGACCAAACATTATTCACCAGGCAGGTGCAGCAGCAGCGAGACTGATACTCCCCTCTGGGCTTTTCAGGTGATTCACTTACTGCACATTCACACTGCAGAAATACATGCACAAGACAGCTTTAAAAAAGATTAAAAGAAGAGAGAGAAAGAAAAATAGTTCTCACTGTGATAACGCCCTTCTCTTGCATGCGACCTGGGGTGTCATGGAGGTCTGCAAACTGCACAGCCACCTGGTGGTAGATGGGCAGGAGAAACTCCTCCCGCTCCTTCAGCTTGGTCTCCAGCTCTTTACGATCAGGGGGGCTCAGCTCTGGAGTTCCTGTTGGGAGTTTCAAAATAATACAATAAAACATCATCGGTCATATATCTGCATGTTTAACTACAGGGAAAGAATATTTTTTTGGCGTTCCCTTATAATTCCATGTTCTACATGCAGCTGTGAGTTAACTCATTTAGCTTTTTGTTCTAGAGCACCCCCCCCAAACCCCTGGCTGCTGTCACTAAAGAATGATTTCTGTCGATTCCAATCTGTAAGCCCCCCCCCAGTAAACCTCCATTCCACCAGTTCGCCCAAAGCAGCGAGCCCCACATGGCATCGGACCACAGTTCCTCTGAGCCCCGAGTGAAATCAATAGCCTGCTCAGGAGTGACAGAGCGCTGGTGATTGATCTGAGCAGCCTGTGATTGACACATCTCCCTGGGGGTTGCAGTGAAGATGATACAATCAGCACCAAATAAAGAACAACAGTAAAAGCACACACATGCTCCCGCCTGATATATTGCTCCTTACTACATCAGACCTACAAGTGAGAACAAAGCTGAGGGGGACAAACACCCAGAAACACCTTTAATTAGAATTGAACTGGAAGACTCACCCAGTCGTTCAGCCAAGCCCGTGTAGACCGGATCGACTCTCCTCATGGTCTTCACCAGGTCCTTCCTCCTAAACTTGATCTCCACGGTTCCTTCAGGCTCCAACACTCCACCTCTGGAGACCACAATCATTCCACTGAACTGAGCTGCTTTGATAAAGACGATTCTTAATCTGTCCTTTTTTTTCTGTCCCACTCACCGGCTGTCCTTGTCTGCGTACATCTCCATGTGACGAGGGTTGATGGTGGGATCGATAACCACCCAGGAGCCTCCCCTCAGCTCAGCCTGCGGGGGAATATAAACCAGCACCGGCTGCTTGTATTCCCTAAGTCCATCCACAATGTAGGCCCCGAACTTCAACACCTGGTCGTACATGTCTAAGAAGGAAACATTCTCAAATGAGATGCTGAAAATAACCCAGATTGACTCATTGCTGTGGAAGCAGAAGTACCTTTCATTCCTCCAGAGAAGCCCCTCCAGTTGGCAAACACGATGAGAGGGAGGCCTTCTCGGTTCAGGTCCTTAATGGCCTGAGCGGTTTTGAAAGCAGAATCTGGGAACCACACCTGTCCCGCCTGCTGGATAATCTGGACATACACATCAGACAATCTGCATCAGTGTCTGTAAACGTCTGAATACCTGAGAGTTCAACCACCGGCCGAGCCCTTACCTTCGCCTCCGAGTCCAAATTGGCCGGATCAGCTGGGATTGACAGCTCCACTGACCTGGTTTCCACAGCAACCACTCCAGTTGGTATCCCACCCAGTCTGTGGAGAGAGGCCTTTCATCAGCACTGACATCCTCTCCATCTTATAATGGCAGGATAATGATCTATGTTGTAAACAGGGTCACAGGCGGGTCTCTTACCTGGCTCTGCCCACCACCACACTCTGAGCCCACGGCTGCATGATCTCCATGAAGGAGCCGTGGTCGAAGAATCCGTTCTGCCAGGCACCTTTTGGAGCTTTATATTCAGAGAGGAGTGAGAGCAGTGAGACAGAGAGTAGAGAGGTGAATCAGGAGAGAAGGTGGAGTTAATTACTGCCAAATGGAACTGAAACGAAAACAAGCTTTCTACTTTTTAAAGCTGCATGCAGCCCGAGGTTGTGTTTTTTTTTTAAACTTTGAATCTGTAATCTTGGCAGCAACCATGATGGATGACTGTATGAGGAGGCTTGCTCAGCTCTTTTACTGCCTGCACACCCTGAGAAACAAGCCCAGTCTATGAGGTTACCATTCAATTAAGCCTCGCCACTCATCACTACCAGAGACATTGACTGGCTTCCCACACGGTCCACCAATCTCCGTGCTGTCCCAGGCTGCTGTAATTACACTGATGTGGAACCTGCTCCGTCCTGACCTGCACTGTAAAACACGCCGCATCCATTGTGGTGCTAATCGTAATGTTACCTTCAGCTCTGTGATGTTAGGCTTCACTGTTTCTCTCCTGGTTTCTTAACAGCCTCTCTCTAGTAATGAGCTGTTTCAACATTTAACCCAGCGGATATCAGGCCGAAACAGAAAATCTCTACATTTTAAATATCACACAAGGAGAACAAATGGACTGTACAACTGCTGATGAAGCATTCTGTATGTAAATGATCAGCAGAGTAAATATAGTCTGTGTATAAATCATCATCATAGTTACATACAAACAATGTATTTTAGCACAACTCATGATATGATGCTGCTTCCCCATTGTTCATTTTTGGAATAAAGAAAGACTTGAATGTAAGGATGCAAATAACAGCTGTTTTCATTATCAATTAATATTAATTTTAATATTAATATTGATTAATATTAAACAAGTCAAACTGTCTAAAAAGTGAGAACCTGACGGCCATCGTTCTCAAAGCAAAAGTCCAAAACACAAAGATGTTTAATTCATATGAACATAAAAAGAGATTAAAGTGTTTGATAAGTGATAAAAAGATGAAAGAGTAGCCACTGACTCTGGCTGGGACGTCCTGCTAACATCCAGCGAGGGTCATACGGAGCCTTGGTTGGAACAAACTCCACTGATCGATCTATGGGATCCTTGGCACTGAGGATGGGCACTGGACTAAATTTACACTGAGGAAAGAACATTTTTTCATTAAAAAAAAACATGAAGGTGAGTTCACTTGAATGAATTCAGGATGCAGCTTCTTAGTCAAAACAACTGCTGGATTACCTTGGGCATGAAGGACAGCCACTGCAGAAGAGTGAAGACTCCCTCAAAGTCATCACACACAGTGCAGTGGGTCACGCCGTTGTTGTGCATGATCTGAATTCCACCGAGCTGGTTGTTTGATGTGTACACTTCTCTGCCTAGCACCTGGAGATGGACAAAGACAAAGGTGTGGATTTTACATAAAAAAGAACATTATAATATTAATAGTACTTTGATGAATATTTTCAACATTCAGCTCATTATAAAAAACAAGGCCTCCATGTTTCAAACACACAGAGTCACAAACAGCAGTAAACTGTTGCCGTGTTGGTCTTGAAACTTTCTTCAAAATGGGAGCAGCAGTTTTCTGCCCAGTTGAATCGTGGGAAGATTTTCCCTGTAAAAGCTTCCTCTCCCTGGCCTCCAACGGCGCCAACAGAGTTAATCTACTGTTCGTGTTGTGCAAACAGGTGTTGGCACCAGGTTTCTGCTGTGTGGAGCTGTGGATCAATGAGCTCGCATACAGACGCAAACATGTCAGGCAACAGCACAGACCCTGCATTACATTCCCCCACTGCGCTGTCAATACAGGTGATCAGCAGCCACACATCTCTCTATTGCAGCGGTCACAGGTGGGTGGCAGTACCTGCCGCTCTTCCTGGCTGTGAATTAACACTTAAATACTCACTTCATGCTCATGCAGCGGCCGCCTCTGTACTGGCTCACAGTCCCAGGCTTTATTCGTCGCTGGCTTCATTCTGAATACTCTGACATGGAAGGTGCAGAACAATGTCTGCCCTCAAAACTGACTCTGCACCAACCTGAAGCCATAAAAGCTCACACCCAGCCCACCCTATTTTCATAAGCAGCTTAGAACAGGTGGCAGGGCCCTGACATGGTTCCATAAAAATCAGAGAGGAGCTCAATCCTACCCTCCACTCTCACCTTTTCAGCCATCATTTACTTTCTTTATTACCATTACTGGTTATGTATCTGGCTACAAATCTAGGGCACTCTCCTAAAGCTGTCAGGAAAGCCTGCGGCCCCAAGAAACATTGCAATCACCTTGACATACACAAAACCCCGGCGCCCGCGGCCGTCGCCGGCTTCATTAAGATTCCACAGCAGAGAGAAGAGGATGGGACGTAGGAGGAGGAACAGAGGGAGATGACTGGGAGGATGAAAACGAAGGGCTAACTGGATGTAACAGCTCACTGGGGTATTTGTGCTAGTAGTTACTACCCAGTCCCCATGAAAATATAAGAGCTTTCCGGCAGCTAATGAAATGACGATCTCTGGGTGGCAGCCTCCTGCTCTCCATTAAGTTTCAGTTAATAGCCAGGAAACCACATGATAAACGAGCAGAGAAAAAAAAAACAGCCCACCTCTTCCCTGTGCTGCTGAAATCACTACGAATTTCATATACACACAGGAAACAGTCGACTGCAATACATCGCCTACACAATGTAGACACTTGTCACAGACCGTTACCACGAGTCGAATCGCACAAATACAGCTGAACAACAGGGCATCTAAAAACAATTGAGCCTCCACTGAATAGGTAAGTCATTATTGGGCCATTGACATGATTTGTCATGTTGCAATCCATCATGTAATTTGAAATGGAGTCATCTTAATTCACTGACAAGGACAGAGAATGGAAAGCAGGACAACAGGAGGTAGTGAAGCATGTAGACACACACACACACACACACACACACACACACACACACACACACACACACACACGCAAACTGCATTCAGAAAACAATTTACCTCAGCAAAACTTCATTTTGATTAAAAACAAATGATATGGGTGTCCTGCATTGCAGCCTCCGGCGTGTCACTCTATTTCTATGCAAATACAACTTCATGGTTTGCTTTCAATTATTCTGCTATGAGTGGCAGGCGGGTCTGTCGCTGGGATCGGAGAGGCAATCCTAGCAGAGGAGGTAGCGAGGCAGGAGGGGGCAGGAGGGGGCAGGAGGAGGCCTGATCGCCGAGTTGGAACAAGCAGTGAAATCATACTACACTTTTCTAATTTCTTCTCTTTGATACATAAACACACATTTCTTCCCTGTCATTTCAGATTTCACAAACTGGAGTTTGTGTTAATCTATAAAAAAACAAGACTGTACAGTACCAGCTGCAAAAAGTTTTACACACACACACACACACACACACCACACACACACACACACACACACACACACACACACACACACACACACACACACACACACACACACACACAGCTCCTTTCCAGATCTGTTTGCCCTTCGTCTCATATTAGCTGCAATATTTTAATAGCCAGCTAATGAATATTTATCGTGGATTCCTCATTAAAATGCAGACGCATCAATTGTGTGAATTTTGGGACAATTCATTTGGTGCTCAGTCAGTGTTACAGCAGCTGCACGGTGCACACAAACACAACAGCAATTTAAAACACTAGACATTTACAGATGATTTTACCTTGTTGAGTGCTCCAGCTCCAGTAAGAATAATGTGAGAGTTGTCCACCTGGATGGTTCGCTGTCCAAGCCGCACCAGATAGGCCCCAATTCCTATGGCTCGACATGTGACCTATGAGACAATCACATTTGATTCTACGTAACAGATGTCAGTCTTTGTACTCTAAAGATCAGACGTGTGAACAGCTCAAAGCTGAGGATGGGACTACATGTGTGTTTTTGTCCACATGTCGGCCCACTTCAGTCTCACCAGGTTCATGGTGATGATTTCCTCATAAGCCAGAGAGGATTCTCCAGCGATCATCCCAGACCCCTTCAGATTCTCCACACCCAGCCCTTCATCCTTCCCAATGATGTCAGTGATCTTGTACCTGCATGACAACACATACATTCACTCAGAGCCAGACATGACCCTCCAGCAGCTTTCCTGTCTGCGGTAACCTCTACTGCACTCTTTAATCTGCAGAGTCACGCACATTCACTGGTACTGGAGCAGCTGCAAGATTCATTTCTTCACCTACAAAGTTAAGTATCTTAATATGCAATAAAAGAAATGATGTACCTGGATTCTCCTTCATCCTCCACATGTTCACAATGCACAGAGTTCAGAGCTGAAACCTTTTTGTAATCCTGAGGTGTGAGGTAGAGATACTTGAAACCCTGCAGGAAAAAATCAACAGAAAAAAGAAAAGAAATCAGATACCATAATAAAGAAATACACAGACACATGAACCAAAGCCACCAGGTGGATGTCTGAAGTAATGACATCCACTATTGATTATAGCTAAAATAAAAGTATTGCGTTTTTGAAATATTGAGTTAGTGAATTTTAGGACACAACATTTAAAACTATTTATAACATTTTGTAGGGGAGCCCTTAATGACTGTGTTATGTGACTGAGCTCTGCTGGCTGACCTTGTAAGGGTCTGCTGGATCTTGCCAGGCCACATGGAACATGTGTCTGATTTCCTCTGCCAGCCCAATGCGGGCGCCACTGTTGGCTGCGATGTAGATTCGCGGGATGCCGCTCTCTCGTGCCATCTCTGAGGCTCGCAGGAACAACACGTCCTCCTGGGGCCCGAATGAACCAATCTTGTGGGTGATGTCGTTACTTATGACGATGATCTCGCGTCCCGCTGGATACTCTGGAGTTCGCAGGGTCATCCGCCAAGCCACCATACCAATCTTGACAGACAGAGCAGCGGCACGTTTACATGAGAAATGCTGATTATCTATATCTGTTGTATCATGAATATACTGCAATAACTCTATTTAGATGTTTTTTATGGTTTTGAGGATGAATGAGCAGCTGAGAATGAAATGTTCCATATGTCATGCTCTCAGCACTGATTTTAATAAGATCACTAGACACAGGTATCAGTGCACTTTCAATGATGCATCAAGTTTTCCCACTCAACAATAAAGTCTTGAACAAGCACTCAACAACACAGACAAAGAGACACAGAGACACCTACAGAGTGAAAAGGAAACTACACGTTGGAAAAGGAGGTGGACATAAAGAAACGGGTCATGTCAAAGTAAATGGATATTATTTAAACTATTTATTTTTTATCTATATTCGTGTGTCCGACTAAGAAAACTGACCTCGTTGCCCCCTGGCAGTCGGTTCATCTGCACCAGCTGACCCTGGGCATCCAGAACCAGCTCTGTGAAGGTGAGCAGCTCAGAGGGAAGAGGGCATTTGGGCAGGTGGGCAAAGGCCTGGCTTGAGTGCCACAGCTTTTTCAGAGCCTGGGAAAATAAATGAATGAGTCAGAATAAAGTTATAAATGATTCAGTATTTGTAAGCAGAAGCTAAGCACAATGGTGAAGACTGTACCTGTCTGAACATCTCTGGAAAGTCGTAGACGTAGGTGGTGCCCAGAGACTGCGCCTGGAAGCGCTTCGACTGCAGCAGGTCCTTGGTGACATATGGGGTGTTGATGAGCATCCCATGCAGTGGTCCCTGTTTGTCTCCATATGCCTGGAACATGATCTGAACAAAGAAGAGAGACAGTCACTTTCTACATAATCTGATTCTGTAACAACCTCGGGATTAACGCAAACAAAAATCAGGATTTAGAGCAGGATGGGGATGATGATGATTATGATGATGATGATGATGATGATGAGCATTTCTCATTCACACTGATACGACATTAAGTCATACAAAGCCTATGATATAACAATCCCTTGTTCCATACACAATCACACAGACATGGTCAGGTGTTAAAGAATAACAGGAAGTGGTGAACATCAGACAGACATGACCATCAGATTCTGAGAGCTGCAGTGTTTTAACTGTCAGTATGTTTCTAGAAAGCATTTCCAATCACATGTTGAAGTTGAACATCTTAATAAAGCTCAACAGCAGAAACACTCCACACTGTTATTACTGCAGGAGATGCAGCTCGTTCTTCAATCTTCACATTCACTGTTGTGGATCTGATAAAGTCACCGCCAGCAAAGTGAAAAATAATATGTGAAATGTGTACCAGGATAATGAGCCTATTTCCCTCCGCTCTTTAATGCTCCATGTTGGTACTTCCTGTTCAACATTCACTTACTAGTGAATGGATGATAGTGATGATGGAGGGACGATGGAGGGATGACGGATGAAGTGAACTTACCTGATCAGCTGTGAGAAGAAACATATTACTGGAGGAATTGTCCACCAGGCAAAGGGCAAGACTCCATACTGGATCTCTACTTCACATCAGTAAACCTTAAAGACACTTTAATATTCTACTGAGTAAAAAAACTCCATCTTTAACTTTAAGAGAGGTGCACTCTGTAAGCTGAGGTTTCCACGATGGAGCTGAAGCCCTTTGCCTGCGACTGGACAATACGTAGATGAGATGGAAGATGTATGAGTGCCCCACCTGTCGGTCTTTGGGCCCCACCTGTCCCGTTCGGGAATCAGTGACCTCCTTGTACAGGCTGATGTCCAGGTAGTAGCCTGATTCATTGGTAAGAAAGAGGCGGATGGGGATTTGCTTTCCTGTTGGAGTCAGGCGGATGTTAATTTTCAGTTCAGCCTGCAGGACGCGCAGCTTCCACAGACGGCTGCCGTAACGCATCACCATGGAGCGCACCGACTCCTCAATCTGAGGTTTGTAGAGGAATCAAGTCATGAGTAAGATGTGAGCTGTGGTCAGTGTTAGACACGTGTATGTGTATGATTATCTCACAAACCTTTGACGGGTCCATGATGACTGTCGGGACAAAGTTAAGGAAGATATGGTTACAGTCAGTTCGTACAGTTGTGTTGTTGAAAGCCACCTCCAGCTCATCCATGGCTTCCAGCAGCAGACGCTCTGCCTCATTGTGAAGGTACTCAAAAGAAGCTTCCTGGAGAGGGAACAGAATAAAGACAGGGGTCAGGGGTGAATCCCAAAGCTCGAACAATATACTGAAAAATCATCAATATAAAACAAAATGTCTGTTAGTTGGTCTTTTGAATTCTCACCTTTGTCACCAGATCAGAGTGGCGGATAATGGCTCTCACAAAGAAGCGGTAGTCTGTGACCTCTGTGCCCACCTCCACACGGGCTGCACCCAGGTACAGGTGCATCTTGTGGTTGGCACACGGGATGGCAGTCAGGGCAAAGTTGCGCATGCGGTTGAGCTCCAACTGGAAAGCTAGTGCCGGCTCCAAATGACGATAGATCCTGTCCTCCTCAAACTACAGAGACGAAGGCAGGACACAATCTCAAACAGCAACACGACAACATTTTGAAATGAGTTTGTTCACAGACTTTCCTGCCGATTGTTTTTTTGAAGTTAGATTTCCCTGCCATCATCTTTTCCATTAACAGAAGTAGCTCAAATTGGCAATTTCAGGAGCACTGGGTTGATACACAAGCATGAAGATGCCTGTGAGCCACACACTGTATTAAGTAAATGAAATCACGGGCAATCTCAGTCTGTGAAAGCTGCTAATGGCTGTCATTTCTCTTAAATGGGAGAAATAATTAGAGTTCATTACTTTAATGAGTTTTGGTGGTGTCATTGTAGTGAAACTATCGGGGTAACGGATAGGAAGAGACATCACTGATTGCAACAGAGTCAAATTCAACACTGCCAAAGGGGATGGAAAGTTGTTTGTGATAACCGCGGCACCTTTTCAAGCTGTTTCCCAGAAAAATCCATCAGTCCGTTGAACATCTGTCGACATAAAGGTCTGTATATATATCCCTTCATCTCTTTAATACAAAGTGTTAACTTCTGCACGACCCAACGCCACTGTGGCCGTCCAAACAAATCTTTTGAGTAAAGGTGATGTGACACCCGGTCCGACACTCACCTTGTCTCTGGCACGGAATGTGAAAAATTTGGGGAATTCTCTCTGTGTGGAAGAGAGTGAGACAGAAAACAGAAAGAAATCAACAACGTTTCTGTAACAGAAACCTCGGCTGTAAATATGTTAACAAAACCAAATCAGTTAGAACACACAGCAGGTGGAAATAAGCTCTTCTGGGCTTTGCTTAAATTGCTACACGACTAAGTCTGGAGTATTAAGCAGTGATGATCAGGACCTTGCTCTACATGCAGTGGGCCCTAATCGCCTTCACTGCTGGATTCACTGCGTATTCACTCACATAATAATGCTAATAGGCTACATATATAAAGCACCCCTCACTTTGCTAATGAATAAAACATTTCCTTTTTTTGCAGAGACGTGTGATCCTCTGAGTAACGGCCTGCAGCCCTGTTTGACGTTATCAGGTGAAGTGTCCCACTTGCCAAAACAATGGCAGACCGATTGGAGATGCTCTCATCAACTCACAGCCTACGTGATGATGAGAGAACTGCAACAGCACACACACACTGGACACCTCCACAGCCGTGATTTGACACTGTGATTACACATTATATTCACTCTCCACAATATGTGAACTGAGAAAAAAAAAAAAAATTTAGGGTGGGTGCACAAGCTGCTACAAAAAAACCTGCATGTAACAAGGGCCACATAATGACAGTGACACCAGTTAGCATGATTTGCTCTCATCACAGGCTGTTACCACCCAAAGAGAAATCAAAGCCTATTGTTAAAATGACAGCAGAGAACTTATCAAAACCAAATCCTGTCCTAAATCCCTATCATTACGGCTTTCACCCACATTTTAGTGTGTATTCTGTTTATACTGGGTCAAACCTGGGGAGATAAATACTTTCTGGTTTAGTAAAACACAATCAGCTGCCATGGCCGGGGGTTCAGTTCCTACATGGCTTTAATGACATATTTAAACTGCAGCTCATCAATAAATTAATCTGTCGCTTAACCAAACATTTATTGATTGGGGACAATAAGCTTCCTGTTTAAATCGAGGAGCTGCCCAGCTCTACACTGGTGGGCCTGTTTCAACTGTTTTTACAAAAAGAAAATGTGTCGACGCTTCTCCAGTAAATCAAATCAAAGAGGCACCTGTCCTCATTTCCTTTGTCCTCCTATACTTACATGAAACCTTTGGTCCACCTCACAGTTGACTTGCTTCCTGAAATCCTGTCATCATAAATGCAGCAAAAGCAAGGCATGCAGGAAGAGATACAGAGACAAACAGGAGAATAAGCTAAATTTCAAATGCAAATTATTACAATTACCACAGTAATGTCATTCCATGTAAACATGCTCATGAAATATTAGTAATTACAATAAGAAAGATGGACATTGGTTCATTTGTAACACTTTGACATGTGCTTTTCAGAACTACTGAATAGGTGACATGCACGGCAGCAAATTGTGAAGACAGGTAGCTGATTTAGTGACGGAGGGAAAGGATGCTCACCTTCTGGGCCACGAGGAAAGTCAGCCTTCGGATGCCGTGTTCAAATAGCAGGGATTTCTGGGATTGATAAGAAAGTCAAATGTCAGAATGAGAAAATCTTTCTGAATCGTCTCAAACATTTAAATCTCTCTGCTGTTGCTGTAGATGGCTCCCACCTTTGACTGAGTGAACTCCCGGAACATGGCCGCCAGGCCGTCGTCATCGATGTCGCTGTCCGTCTTTATAGCCACGTTCAGGATGTGGATGGGCTCCTCCAGAATACTCTGGGTGACAAAGCAAATAAACGTTTCATTCCAACATAAACAGTCACACAGGTCCTGAGTAGACTGTGACCATCACAGGTCTGCTTTCATCACCTTGTTGTCCTCTTCACCGTACAGGACGGGATTACCTCCCTCTGGGAAGGTCGGACTTGGGGGAGGAGAGTCGGAGAAGCAGCTCAACACGTCTGTAATGTTCCTGTAAATGAGGAAAATCACAAATCCCATTAATCACACTTGTGATATTTTCTTCACCTACAAACAAGATGAATGTAAGTTGAGGGTTAGAGACTGACCTGGTGAACTCCTGGAAGGAGCGGAAGGAGACCATGGCTCCCATGCGCTGACAAGGAGGTGTAAAAGATGTATCAAGCAGAACATCACTCACGCTGGCTACATGCACCATGCCGTAGTGGTTCAGGTTGGATGAGAATGACATCCTGAGGTGTTGACAGAGAGAGTGTGATTATGGGAATCTGCCATAACACTAGACTGACTATGTAAAGATGTCCCCCATCCACCTTTGAGAACCTCACTGCAGTTTTAATCCCTCGGCTTTTTGGCAGATGGATAATAATATGTATGAAAACATTTAAGTATAAAAACTGAGTGAGGTTCAAATTATAAAAGCAAATAGTAACAAAGTTCCACCATGACAAGTGAACACAGTGAAGCAGTGCAGTTTTTTGATAGACCACGTTAGTTGAATTAAAACAAAGAAAATATTCCTTTCACAGGAACAAGGAAACTTAAATCCACCAGGAAGACCCTTCATTCACAGATTCACAGGTTTCATTTTGTTGGTTGTTAGTCCTTTGGATTGTAGGAAGTCGTCCCAGAAGACACACCCACTGAAAACACTTGAGAGGTTTTGTGTCAAACCTGTCCACAGTTTCCGACTCTGAGACATTTTTCTTCTCTGCATTATCATCCTTAGATTTACTCTCTTGAGCTTTAAGGTCCTGGGGTTTAGTTTCCTGAAATCTAGTGTCCACGACTTTTACAAGGTCCAGGATTGGAGCAGACATTTTCCTGGCAGGACAGTCACAGGTTTCAGTTCAGGAGATTTGGACTCACGCACATCTTTAATTACCTTACCCCCACATTATATCCCAAATTATTCAAAATCTATGAGGCACAAACACACACAAACACACACAGAAACACACATACAGACTGAAATGTTTGACACAGAGGCTGAATGCCAAAGGCCATGCTGTTGTCAGTGACATTAAGAAACATTGTGCTCAACAACCAGACGACTGTCCAGCTTCATTTCGGGAAATTTAAAAAGCACCGAACAGTTAGATAACCAAACAACTTGTTGACTTAAATCATCAGATGAATTAATATTTTTAATGAATTACTGCTTTGACCATGCGGCTAGCTAGTCTACAGTCACTAGTAGTCTATGCAATAAAAAGAATGTTTACAATACCTGTTTAGAGTGGGGATGTTCCCTCTGCAATCAAACAACATTGATTACTAAGTGGTTAGTGGCAGGCATCAGAGAGGAAGACAGTCAAGGTGTAGCAATGTGTGTGTGTGTGTGTGTGTGTGTGTGTGTGTGTGTGTGTGTGTGTGTGTGTGTGAGGATATTGAAAATATCTTTCTGGCGACAAACACAAATTTCACTTCCTGACTGCTCCCTTTACAACATGCGTCATGAGATCCTGCGGCCTCTTGTCCGGAGTTACACTCTGAACAAAGACCCAGGATCATCACTCCCAACATGAAGGTTAAATCAGACACATTAAATCACAAGCATGCAATGAAATGAGTATGTAATGGCATCCACGGGACTTCTACCACTAACTGCATGAACAAGCCGAACCCAACGGAGCAGAAAAGATGATAATACAAGCACTGCGAAGCAACATCAGGCACATTACACAGAAACATACAAACATTCACTCACAGACAAACCAAACACAATCACACAGGTCGGATGCAGAATATGGGTGCAACAGAAATGCCACAGCACTGTGTCGGTCACAGGCTTTTTTTCAAATGCTAAGCATGTACAACACAAATCCAGAGTGTGTCTCTGGTTTTCTCTGATTCTCAAGTTTAATATGAAAAAAGATTAATTTTTCTTTTCCAGGACTTACGAGGAAGAGTAACTGACATGAGACTCTTGAGGCTGGGAGCTTTGCTGCTCATGGCACTCACACTTTTCACAAACCAAGAAGAAGTATTTTCAGTCTTGCAAAATACCTTCTTTTGCACATGAGGAGCATTTTACATGGAGAGCAACGATGAACAACGACAGAGCCTGGGGGTGGGAGAGGAACCGTGGCACCATGGAGGTTTCTAGGAGTTGGAGTGATGTGTTTTGTGTAGCCACCAATGCTACAAACACCTACACAATGGAATAATGCAGTTGTCCATGGAAATAGACAGATACAAGAATAGAGGGAGCCACCAAACGATGCTGCTAATTCTGAGGAACACGGCAGTGAAGACAGCTGCTAAGATCAATTAACATAAAGCTGTGACCAAAATATAGTGTGAGGCCAGCATCACTCCCACCAAGGGAAAATTCTACATATTGTAAATATTGATTCCTGTCCACAGTGCCATTTTGGGGGGTGGGAGGGGTGGGTGGAGCATGACAGGTGATGCACAGCACGTGAGCATTGCGGCCATTTTGTGTGTGTGTGATACCTGTTGGGATGCGAGGTGGGGAGCATGAACTGGAACTCTACTATGCACGTGTTGTCCTTCAGCTGTCGATGCTGAACACTGTTGAGCTCATAGGCGATGTATGCCCTGCGCACATAAACCTGCAGGTGTTGGAGCAGAAACCACAGAAAATATCAGTTAGACGTGAGGCGACTGCAGTTTTCATTAAAATGAAGTAAGGGCAGATTGATTTGTCAACTGACGTCATTGTTGGTCTCACCTCTAGAGCCGCCATCCTGACCACCTGATTGCTGTGGTAGAAGAAGTTGGGCAGAACATCAAAGATGGATGTCTCTGAAAGGATCAGTTTCTAGAAAAACAAAAAGGAGAATTAGCCACTTTTCAGAACATTAGATAAAGCTGACGACTTCTGGTCATGTCCTTTTGCATCTACCTGCAGGTTCTCGATGCAGAACTGGTGTCCATACATGTCAATGGCAGAGAGGAAGATGGACTCCACCTGGTTGTGTCGTAGCTCATAGGAGGGAAGGTGGGAAGCTATCAACACCTGGGTGATGCAAACAGTTCTTTACACATTCAGTTACATTTTGTGACATACTCTCTGTGCAGTTTCAGTTCCACCTTTAAAATCTTTACGAACATGACGGACCTTTAGATCTCATTTTGCCAATAACAAAGAATATCAGTGTCACCTCCCTGCCACAGTGGAGGGTGGACAGTGACATCTGGTGGTAAAATTCTTACCATGGATCGTGGAGAAAAGTAGATGTTCAGTAACTTCCCTATCTGATCCACCTCTGCATACTCAGTGAGTTAAGCCTATCCACATTTTTACTACCTGAACAAAAGACGCTTTAACCAAAAGAATCTATAATTTATATATATATATATAAATATTATCTGCTTTCTAATTTAAGCAGGCACACATTAATATTCTTCCTGCTGACAATACATTATCATATATGTACTTTTTAGCTGTTACTAAATGTTGGATATTGAGCCTTTTCAGTGGAATTTCAAATATATTCATCAACCACAACGATGAGTGAACATCTGACCTGCCGAGCACGCAGGGCCACCTTGGCGTTGGTCGTCTTGCTGAGCTGAGTCAGTTCAGTCAAGATGGCCATCAGCTCATCTGTCAGTGTGGGGTCACGGCCACACAGTTGGTCCTAGACACAAGAGATTACATGTTTGGTTTGACACTTTAATAATATATATACACACATGAATGTTCTATATATATATATAAAGTGTGACATTATATTTACTGAGTAACAAAGGAATGTCATCATAAGAGCATCATAAGAATTTAATAATTTAATTTTTTGTTTCATCCAACACTTTGTATCACACATTGCTAATGCTTAAACATATTATACATAAAAAAGACAATCATCATAACCATCATTAAAATGTTACAGAAGGAAAAGTCTTGACAGGGAAGTCTGTCTCCATCAGTCAGTCAGAGAGGACACTTACGATCAGCATTGTAACCAACAGGTTCTTCTTGGTGACTTGAGCGTGGGAGAAGATGTAGTTGAGCACGTTGGCCATGTCGCCTTTGTTTTCCTCACGCAGTGCAAACACACATTTGTCGTAGTGTCCTGTTGACAAGCCAACACATACAGTATGAGCTGTGAAGTGCAGAGTCACACATGCTGAGGAGTTTATTGTGAAAGATTCCACCAAAGGGAGAGAATGAGTAAATGCAACTGTTCTAAAAATCTCCACAAAAGTTCAAACCAAGGCTAGTTACTCCTGCATGTTGAAACATGTCACCATTATGAAACCTCGAAACCAGTATGGCAGAGTGTTGCCCCCGTTCCTCACCGTTCTGAAACTGGATCTCTACTTTCAGGTACTGTCTGAGCAGGTCCATCACCACTGCCTTCATGTGACCTCGGATGCCACTGCGATACCTGGTGGAGAGGAAGAACAGAAGAAGAATGAAGACCTGAACTAACTACAATGCGTCTGTGGATCAGGAGATCCAGTGACAAGGAAAACAACCAGTATACAGCAAACACAGTAAATCTCTGTTACTGTGTCGGTGCAATCTGTCACTTTGGGTCACACTCAGTGATCACTGTGTCAAACTTCTCATCATGTTGAGATGTAGAGTATGAAACTCACTTCTGCACCAGCTGAACAATGCTCTGTGTGTTCATGAAGAAGACTTCTCTCTCTGACTTCTTGTTAAGAGTAGCAGCATGGCTGTCCAGGATGTTTGCAATCTGGAAACACAGGAGATAAACCATATAAGCATTTAATCCCAGCAACAGTGCAGACTCATAAATACATTATAATCCCTGTAGCACCGCGGACCTCTGTGTTAGCTGGTTCTCGATACGTCCAAACTGTGCACAGGATCCAACAGAGAACGTCAGATACTAACTGGGCGTGAAATTTGTCATAAAAACTAGTAAAATCTCATTAGAGGTGTGTGACGGCACCTTTTCACTACGACTTACATTATTGTGCTGAACTGTTTTTGCTTTTTATAAGTTATGCAGGAAAATCACATTCATGAAATATGCACAAATATCAGAGTCCAAAATGTTTCAGAAGTAATAGCAAATCAAATCCAGACATCTTTTCTCATTACAGATTTATACTGAATAAATATTACACAATTCATCACACACACACACACACACACACACACACACACACACACACACACACACACACAGTGAGACTTGCCTTTCACCCTTTTACTAAGACAAGTATTTTGAAATCATTTGTTTGCACAAGAAACAAAAGTCAAGCAGGTCGACAGTATTTTTCTACTGACTGAAACTCACAGTGTAACTGGGCAACACTGTGGCGATCATACTGTCAAAGTAACAGCTAACTTCTTTTAAAAGAAAGAAACCAATGGAAAATATTTCTACTTTACTGTAGAAAAGTGGCATCATCAGAAATGTACTGTATATTTACACATGACCAGTCACCAGGGTTACAGTGAAAACCAAATGTTATTGCTGGCACAGAAAAGAACAGAGAGTTACTTTGAGTGTAGCTGACGAGGTATACTGTGTGGGTGTCTTAGCCTGGTGTGTGCGTGAGTTATGGGTCACCTGCTGGCTGGGGAACTGGCAGAGCACAGACGTGATGTTGCTGGCATACTGAGCCATCTCCTTCTTGATGGCCTTCTCCACAGCAGGGGGGATGCGGCCCGACACGCTAGTCATGATGTCTTGTAGCTCCAACAGTGGTAAAGAGGGGTCGCGCATGGTTTTCATCAGCCGTTCCACCCATTCTTTCAACTAGCCAAGACACAAGAGGCACACGGATTGTTTAAAGACACAGCTTCAAGTTGGGGGGGTGTTGGTGTTGGTGTCGGCATGCACCCAGAGTGTATGCATTCTCACCTTAGCACTGAAGAAAGGCTCAGGAAGACAGTAGCCGTTCATGATGTGAACGAGGTGGTCGAGTGTGTTGTGGAAGACTCTGTGTAGCTTCTCTCCTCTCAGAGCTACTGCCTGGATAGAAGGCAGGGCCCCTGTGTGCAGCTCTGCCTACAAGACCAATGCAAATACTTATAATACAGTCCATCATGTTGCACATATGCCATTGTTTCACAGACGCTGTAAATGATGTGGTACAGTAGGAAGTAGTGGCCATACTGTGAAACACACGAACTACCACCTCTCAATGTAAGCCGAAGAAACCTGCACTTACTGAATCATCATACAAGGAAGAAGTCGAAACTGTTTGATCCTCTGAGGGCAGTTACCTAATGAGTAGTGACACATTCACCAGCAGTGACTCCTTCTATAAGTCTGCCTACTGACATCAGCTGTGACACAGATTATTGAGCCTGCCTCTTGAAGTTTTGACTTCATGAATTCACTTGTCTTGAATGTAAATGAACTCACACAAGCAACAGATATATCTATCAAAGTAAAGTCACTACATAAAGTGACTTCATGACGCACCTGTTGCACTCTGCTTGGATCATCCAGCTGCAGCTTGGCAATGACGCAGCCAGGCTCCAGCGCTGCTCCGGACCTCTTCACGTAGTGGATACAACCAGACTCTGCAGCTGTAAGGGTCATCACCATCTTCATCACCTGCAATTTAAAAGCATCAGTTTATCTATACAACCCCCCCAACAAAAACAAAGTGAGTTTAAACTGACTCCATCTTTCCTGTGGACATACTGTACCTCTATCTCAGCGTAGCACTGGCCAGAAAACACATGTCCGCCGTCCTCCACTGTGTACTGAATGATTTTTCCTGCTGATGGAGAACGCAGCAGAGAAGGATCATTCTCCTTTTCAAAGACGCACGTCTTGTTCCCAATTGTGATGCGATACCTGAAAGGTAAAAAAAAGAGACTTTATTTTACAAATTCGATTTATAATCTTGCAGAAATCAAGATGTGTAATTTCTTTGTCTTTTAATTTATTTTCATTCTATCCTGAGGAGGAGTTAGAGCTAAATTAGTCATTATGATTTCAGTTCTCTCTTACCTGTCCACTTCCTCCTTCATGTAGGTGGTGTAGCTGCTGCCATCATAGGACAGCAGAAGACCTCCGTCACTGAGCCGATGGACGTCCACCTCAGCTGAGGAGTTGTTCATGATGACCACGTAGGAGTTGGGAGACTGGCGTGTCACTGTCAGGACGTACTTGGTACCTTCATAGATCAGCTCCACATCCACAGTATTGAGTAGTGTGTGTGCTGGCAGCACCTGGCCCCTGGGTGGAGAGAAGAATGTCTCATGTTTTCTATTCAAAAACTGAATTTGTTTTTTTCCTGCTTCACGCTGATCACTACAAGATGCCATATTTATTACCTTTCCAGAGAGTGCAGGAAATTGGACACACTGTTCCTTAGATTTACATCTGCCACATGAAGAGCCCCACTCACAATCCCCAGCATGGTGTCGGGACGCTCAGCCTGCACACAGCAAACACAAAACATCTAAGATTCAAACTGCATGGTGCCAGGAGCATAAACCTCAAGGCTTTTATAATTATCTCAACACTGAGTGTTGTGTGGTTTCAGCACTGATATCAACATATGGATTAGATCATTATAGTTTTCTTAAAGAGCATCCAGTGGCCACAGCTGACGCATCTCTGCACACCTGCATCTTCTCTGAGATGAGCCTGTCCAGCCAGCCTGTGTCAATGCTGTTGTGCTGAAAGCTTTCAGTCTCCAGCAGCTTAATGAGGTATTCCACTGTGGTCCTGAAGTCTCCTCTGATGGACAACTCCTTCAGAGCCACCACCATGTTGCTAGAAAAAGACACAACCACATGAGAAAAAAATATAAAAAACCTCTGATTAGACAAACGAGTAGAAGATATCTCCTACAGTAAATATGTATTAACATGAGTGAGCTGCTTTCAAAATTCTGAATGCACTCACGAGATGGCTTCTTCACGATTCTCTCCCCAAGAGAAACAGTGTCCAAACTGGGAGTCGGCAAACTCGTGCAGACCTCCAGCTGCTGCAACACTGAAGTAGCCCCACACGTTCTTATTGCTGCGGAAGTTCAGCTCTTGCACCGTTCCTGAGCTTGGCTTGAAACCCTGCAATCAGACACGAACACCGCATTTCATCTTCTGATGAGCTGAACCAAAAACTGTTAGTGTGACATTTACACAAGGGGAACATTTCAAAGTAAAAACAATGGCTTTTATTTATGGTACCACTGAATCAAGAAGAGTAAAATTGACAAAATAACAGAGGCAAAACAGAAATCACAGTCTTCATGTGACCTTTAGCTCTGAGTATTTTGTATACCAGGAGGGAGTGAAGCGTACCTCATCAGGATTTTCACTAGTGATACGTGCTGCAATGACATGACCCCGCGGGGAGGGGGCAGTTGACAGACCCTCAAAGTCAATGGGAGAGTCTCCCCAGGGCTGGACCCCATAAAGCATCCTGATGTCTTTGATGCGGTGAAGAGGAATACCCATAGCGATCTGACAGAAGACAGCAGCATTAGCACAACATGAGTTTTTATATAGAACATTAAGGAGCCGGTCACTGAGAGGAAAAACTCAGTACAGGCTCATATATGGATGATACATGTATTTGCTTTGAATGAACTGCATAGATTTTCTCTGGCATCCTCATATGACCGTTGTCAATACTGTGTTTTCTAGACAACCCATAAACAACATCTTGCTGACAGATAGTGAGTCGTCCTATTGTTGCCTGGAAAAAGACAGCACAGCCCTCTGTGCCAGAATGTGACACTCCCACAGCAACACCCAATCAGCTTGACTGCACGGCTTTCCCAGCAGCTCTGCCCTTCAGCTAGACTGCCAGTGACCTATTTACACACAATCCTAAACACTGCAGAACAGACCACATGACCCGCGGTCGCTACAACCACTGGATCCTACTACACTGTGTCTGCGCGCTGTCTCCTTCTTTTGCAGTCGGTTTCCATGGAGACAGGGGGCCCGTCCAGTGTGGAGCAGTGAAGCGTGCTAACTCTGCCCGCTCCTGGACAGTGTTGTATGTGACATAAGACAGAGTGTGCTTTTTCTAGCAGTGCGGGAGTGTGTGTGTGTGTGTGAGACTGACCTGCAGCTGAGCAGCAGGCAGGTTGACATCGGCCACCATCTCAGTGCAGGGGTGTTCCACCTGCAGACGAGGGTTGAGCTCCAGGAAGTAGAAGCTGCCGTCCTGGCTGTAGAGGTACTCTACTGTACCCGCACTGACGTACCCCACCATCTTAGCCAGCTTCACTGCACACTGAGGGAGTTAAGAAGCTCTGTTCATATCTTGGTTGAAATTTGTTGGTCTTAGGGTTAGATCTCCATTATCACCTATCTATTTCTATATTTGTTATGCTGGATGGGTTATACCTTCTCCATATCCTCAAACACATCAGAAGTGGCGATGGTAGCAGGAGCCTCCTCTATAATTTTCTGGTGTCGTCGCTGCACAGAACAGTCTCTACCAAACAGGGAAATGGCATTGCCATACTGATCGGCTAAGATCTGGACCTCCAAGTGGCGGGCATGCTTGGCAAGCTGCATGACGAAAATAGGCGATCCTGGAACTTCTGCCTGGACCTGGAGAGCCGAAGAGAAAGTAAATCATGTAGTCAAGAAATGCACAAAAACCTTTTCTAAATCTTTCACATGAAATCCTCTAACTACAAGTTCAAAGCATATTCTACAATGTGTTACTATCCTGCATGATGTTTCAAATTACACACTTGGGTTTCCACCTACCTGTCTGAAGAGGTTGGGCAAATCATCAGCAGAGTTGACTTTACGGATTCCTTTCCCTCCACCTCCCTCTGAGGCCTTCACCATTAGAGGGTAACCAACCTTCTCCGCAGCCTGGCAATGGAAGAACACAGCTGTTCAGCATACATATATATATGTAACGTTCATGCATTATGAACTGTCAGGTAGATGACATGCTCACTTTCAGGCCGTCCTCTACATCCTGGATGCAGCCAAGCTCGTACACGTCATGAGGAACGCTGATGATCCTCTTGTTCTCTGCCCATTCCACTGTCAGGCCTGAGAATGGCAGACAGCGGTGTATTCAACATACGTACAGACATCACCATGACACCGTGTGACATTTATTATTTTCCTTTTCTGAATTTGCAATATTGCTAAAACTGTACACTGATGAAAGTTGGGGAATGCAGAAAACACAGACTGATTTTTTTGATTTCGAACACAGAAAAAAAACATTTAGATTTACTTTATCAAATCTAATCCTAAACAGCTTGAACAGGAGACCCCACACACACTTTGACCCACCTGCTCCGCTCCATGGAAGAGTTGGAATACCAGCCGTCTGAGCGACTATGGAGGAGGCGATCTTGTCTCCCAAAGCCCACATGGCCTGACTTGGGGGCCCTGAGGAAGTAAAAACAAAAAAGCATTTAGTTAATTAGACTAATTATGCGTATGTAAACTAACGGGTCAACAAAGTGATAAAAAAGGTTCTCTGACCCATGAAAGCAATGCCATGCTTGTGAAGCAGCTCTGGGAGTTTGGGGTTCTCTGAGGCGTGACCCCACCCAGCCCACACTGCCTGTAAGGAACAACACAATGGCAACATTCACTCAACCTTTGATACAGTTATTGATTACTGTGCCAAAATTATAGATACACTAAGAGTGCAGTGGTACCTGAACAGGTATGCGTTTAGCGATGTCCAGAATGAGCTCGACGTTGGCGTAGTTGTTGTTGTTAGTCCCTCCTGGCACAGGCACGTAATGATCTGCCATTTTGATGTACTCTGTGAGACACACAAACACAGAAAACTCATTTGTAAAATTATATTAAAATACATGATCAATGGTGCAGCCAGTTTGCTACCAGGTGGTTAGGGTTTAATATTCATCTACAGCAGAATCAGCGTATTGTATTCAGGTGTGTTACGTGTTTAGATAAATCGTGCTGAATCTCACCTGCATTGGCCTTCAGGTCCTCTGGGGTCACCATGACAACAAAGCGGATTGCCCTTTCATTACGAAACATCTCGTAGGCCCAGCGGCGGATAGAGCGCATACATTTGACGGCTGCAATACCATTGTTGGCGATGAGCACCTGGAGAAGCAAGATAGCTGCGTCAGCAGTGCTTATCAAAGTCACATGCTAAAAACTTTGTTAATCAAAGTCCTGAACATAAACATATTCAAAGAATTTGCTCCTTGTTTCATGAAACTGATCATCTTTCTTTTGATTGGCAGCACAAGCTGGGGCTACATTTCTAATAATGTTTACTACAACTGTGAGACATGGAGAGCCATTGAACTGGATTAGTAAATTATTCCCTTCATGCCTTCCAGACAACTGCAAGATATTGTTGTGTCTATATGTACAGTGACTTTAAACTATATTCTCTTGCACACATTTAGCTGTGCGGTTTAAACAAGTCACACTATTTGTTTTGAGTTTCCACATATTATCTCAGATTAATCTCTGAATGTGGCATGATTGGACTGTCATTCAAGACAGTGTTACATATAAATAATCACCTTCTCGATGACCTTGTTGCCACCGAAGCGGGTGACAAACTCAGCAGGAGAAGCCACAGTGAAGTCCCTCTGCAGATCAATACGCCGCCGATCTCTGCCTTGCTTCACCAGGTGCAGCCCTGACATGCTCGGCCTGTTTTAGGAAATACAAAGAAGCCATACAATGGACTTAGAAACTGAAGTGCCAGAAGGAAACTATCACAACTTTCAGTAGCTGCTGTGAGAGATAAAAACACACTGATATCACATCATTTTGATAAGAGACCAACTTGTCTCAGGAGCAGGTGATTTGACCACTGTCTCTATCTTACACTTCCTAGCTTGTGGGTGAGTTACAGTCTGTAACAGTAGCAATGAATCTTTTTTAAAAAAGGCTGAAGACTTATTTATGTTATGAATGATGTAATCATTTGAGATTAAGTTTTAGAACAGCAGAAGTATGATATATCTAAGCAGAAAGGTCTGATGAGTAGTATAAGTACGAGTCACTCTGCTGAACATGTTTACATACTTGGGAAAGTGCCTCCAGCAGGATCTGCACAGCACTATAAATCAAGCTCCACCCCAAAGGGAGCCATAGGAGGGGAGTGGGTAGTGCAGGGGGAGGAATATTACTATTGGCAGGAGGGTGTGGCAGCGCCTGGGCTCGTTTGGCTGGCTTGCTGTCTGTGGCCTGATACTGCATTATTGCATCACTGATGGGGTTACCGGCACGAGGCACAAATGAGCTTCTACTGAATGGAGGCTCTGATTTCAGTCCAGCTGTGAAACTGCGAGACTTTGTTCTGTCCTGTCAGAGAGGAAATCATGGGGGTGGAGGAGACAGGCAACCCATCCAGTATTTCCGGTTTTTAAATTGGCATCCCAGCTTTTTTCTGTTAAACCCCACTTCTCTGACCCTTTTTGTCCTTGTGAAACTAATCACACAACACCTGACTGGACGGAGAAATTGCTGAGCTCTATGAGATCCTGATGTCCTTTACAGATGATGTGATTCTGAAATTGCAAAGAAAATGAAGCTTTCCTGACAATCACACATACAGAGTCAGGGGGCAAAAGCACACCACTGTACACAAGGCTGGCTGCATATCAGAACACACAGAAGAACACCAGCCAACAGGAGACGGAAAAATGTGTAATTATTGGAAAGACTTTCTGTAGGCAGTTTCCTACATCAGCATGACTTCCTCACTGAATCTCAAATCTTCAAACACAAATCTTGTACGAGGCTTTTGAGGAAAATGTAATTTACAGGCCAAAGCTGTGAAAGTGAAGGTGAAGTGAGAGGTCTGCCGAGCCCAGTGAAAGACCTGTGGCTGGCAGTGACTCTGCTGCTCTGTCAGCACTGAATGGCTCCTTTAGACTGGCACATTTCTGTGTGTGAACATTTTCCAACTTTCCCAAACCAACGTACTGAGGTCTCTGCCCACTCTGCAGGCTGAGAACACAAAGAAACCCTTAAGCAGTGTGCTGCTGGTGAAGCCACATTTTTCACATGCACTGTAAAAAAAAAAAAAAAGAAGGGGTTCCCCAGTGAAGGAGGAGCAAAGGACAGAGTGTACTCCAGGTCTAATAAGAAAGCATTTGAAGATGCAGGTTGCCAATCTGTATCTAATGTATCTAGTCTATCCTACATTTCCATACATCATAGCCACAGAGACATTATGCAATTGTAGGGTGTTAAAGGTAATGTTTTGCTTATATGTAAAAGTAACTACAACAGAGACAAAAACCCTAAAGAACCTGTAATATTTCCCAGATTGATGTTTGTTTGAAGCAGCTTGCCAAACATGGTACAGTCTTGATACAAACTGATCTGCTTGTCTGAGCAGGTTTTCCCTTTAGGATCCCTGAACAAATAATTACAGAAAAACCACATTTTTAAAAAAAATCACAATTCAGCAAGATATATTTTAGCCAGTAGTGTGTGGAAAAATTGTAAACCAACCCTGACAGACTAAAGGTGATGCAGACCAACTGGGTCTGGATTCTAACCTTAGATTGTGCATGGGGCCGTCAATATGGTCGAAGCCCATCTCATAGGTGCTGTCTGAGCTACCGGAGGATGGTGACAAAGAGCGCGTCTCCTTCTCTTCCAGCTGCATGTCTAGCTTCCCTTGGATTTCATCCTCTGAGTTCTCCTCCGATACTGATCCCACAATGAAGTGAGAGTGCAACGCCGCTACAGCAGGGTTCTTCTTGGCAGCACCGTCCTGTTGTGCCATGGCTGGGCGACACGAACAGGCTGCGAATACTGACAAGACACGGAACAGTGACGGTTATAAAGGAGAGACAGGGTCCAAATTGCAGGGTACAGTGACACAAGATCCCCCAGCTGGCAAGTTATGCTGTTTGTCATATTGCAAAAGTGGTTTACATAAACTTAAGTATCTTGATCATGCAACTGATATTGCATCACTAGCACCAACACTGTCTGGGAGCATCAGTACATTGACTGCAGATTCTGAAAACAATCACCATTATTGAACATATCAAAGCAGATTCATAATCAGAATTAAAGAAGGATGAAATAATGAAATATGCCTGTAATCCTTGGTCATACTGTTAGCAGGTCCCACACAGTCAGAAAGATCTGGAGCATTGTTTCAACCAGAAATAACAACACTGCCGATTTGAAAAACATATATTCAATGAATTACACTCCATAAAACAAATATATAAACATCTGTACACAATGAGAAGTCCTGCTGCCACGTGACATACACTTTGAGTGTGTCTGTCAATTAAAAACAATGTAAACAAAACACTTGATCTTATAGTCAAGACTATCACTACAACTGTAAGCTGCATGAATCAATTACAGAGCACATGAAAGAGGGGAAACACTAACATTACCTCCTCTTGTATTGGACCTCTCTCACTTTCTGGTTCAATAGCAATATTACCAAATTAGTTCATTAACATCAGTCTGTGTAATCATGATATTATCTAACTGCCCGCCTCTGTTCCTTCACGTTGCTACGACTACATTTGTTTCCACCTGTCCGTGTAGGTGCAGGGCAGACTCTCAGGTGAGGCACACCTTACCTATCGATAGCTGCTTGCGGGACCAGAAAAACAAGCCGAGCACCGCCGCCAGACACACTGCAAACGTGAGCCAGGGGAGCATCACACACTAATACCGACGGCTACATTTAACTCGTTAACAACCCGAAACTTCGGACGCAAACCATGTTGGTGAATGACAGCCCTGGAGGACTGACTGCTAGCAAGCGTCAAGGCACCTAACGTTACCTGTCAATTCAAAGCTAGCTCGCTAAACAGCAGCCGATAAACCGAGGCGCAGATGCTAATAACGTAGGTGTTAGCTAGCTTACTGGCAGCGGCTAATACTATTACAAAGCCAGAGTAGCGGCACTAATACAGTCTTGCTGACTGTAGTGCCGCCGGTGTACTGTACTGCAGCGTGCCTCAAATCTTCTGAGCGCAACTACCGGTAAACAGCCGTTAACGTAATCTGAGACAGACATCTAGGCGAGCGACTCACCGGTGGAGATGAACCGACAAGTAATCCTGACGAAGAACAGTCCAAAAGATCGATAAATTAATTGAGTCTATCAGACATCTCACTGATGATGAAAAAATCACATCATGATGAGGTCACAGTGATCCGTTGGACGCTTCAACAGCAGAGAGTGGGGTGATGTGACGATGCGCAGGCAGGTTACTCTTGGACATTGAACTCTGACCTCAGCTTCCGCTATAGAAACAGTCTAGATAGAAAAGACTTCACATACGAGTACATACGCTCAAGATGTTACACCAAAGATATTATATTATATTATATTATATTATATTATATTATATTATATTATATTATATTATATTATATTATATTATATTATATTATATTATATTATATTATATTATATTATATTATATTATATTATATTATATTATATTATATTATATTATATTATATTATACAAAATTACAATGCCAAGTGTTCACATATCTCTAGCATTCTAGTTGTGGTTTTAAATTAAATTCGTTGTAAACATTATAAATAAATATTGCGTTTAACCTCCGTGAGTGTCTTCAAGCTTTTTGTTTCTATGTTTTATTTTTACTTATTTTATTTATTCATTTATTTATGTTTGTTTTAGTGACTCGGTTGCAGTAAGAATTTCCAGTTAGTATGTAGTAATCTTAATGGCACAGAAAACGTCTAACCTAATCTAACTTCCAATAATGTTAATGCTTCAATGGCAGCAGAAAACGAAAAAGTTACATCTTTGTACTGCCTGTAAATATTCAGTGTACAATAAATGCTCTCGATCTATTTTACCAAGCTCTAGGACGGGCTCACTCTCAGCGGACCAATCAGATTCCTGTGAGATTTCTGTGGGCGGGTTTAGAAGGGTTATCGGAGGGGCGGGTCCCGGAAGAGGTGGTCCTTCTTCACACGTGTTGCATGTTTCTCTGTGCAGCAGAACGAAGCTGGTGACTGGAGCGGCTCGATGCTTCACTTGTTTTGGAAGAAAAAACGTTTCAGAGCGTCAGGTGTGTTGTTGTCCTGATGGGATAGTATCGCGTGCCAGAAGGCAATTGTGAACACATCAATTAGCTCTCACGATATTTAACTACAAGACCTCGTTAACGTGCAGTTATGACGATAGTGAAGCAGCAGCTTCACTATCGGGACGGGAGGGGGCAGTACATCGCTTTCAGGGTGAAACAGAAAATCTGCTTCAGCTCAGCTTCTGAAAATCACCCCATGTGTTGCCAAAGGTTGTTAGTACCATGCGATAACTCTCCAACAGTAAATATGGCGTTTACTCTGCAGTTATGAACCAAACACGTGAAAAGAGTCATATATTGCAACGATAATCATATTAAGGGAGAATGGGAATATATCTGCATGTATCCTAAGTCCTGACCCCCCCCCCCCGAGAGCAGCACATGGACATTCAGCATTGCACAAACATCAACCTTAGCTGAAGTTCAAAACAGAAATCTCAGCCTGAAATCAAAGTCAATTAGATAAACAGACTGAGAGACATGGTTTTGTGCAGCCCTGTTTCCTCCAAAGACTAACTCTCTAAAATCACCAATAATCAATATCCTGTTACAATATAGACTCAGAGAAAACATGCAGCTATAAAAGGTTGAAAACTGTCATTTCTATGTCTCACACTTAAAGTGGGAGGAGTTTTTGTGAGATAACCTCCCATCTCCAGTGTTTCTGATCTAAACATAAAGAGTCACTGCAGCGTTAAAGCTTTAAACAGTGTTGTCAGAAATGCAGGTGACTGCTATTCTAATCCACTAGGTGGCTTCAGAGGCCATGAGTTTACCATCTCTAAGTAGCCACATTAAATTTTGGGCAACAGCAGAGATCAAATCTTTTTTTCTGAAATGGTAACCAAATGGATTCAATGGTGTGAGACTCCAGTATTATCATTAGATAAGTACAATTTTTAATAATTTAATATATTAACAATAATAGGAGAAGCAACTAATAGAAAAGGACGCATGTTGAATTTTAGTGAGATAAATGTCAGCATCAGCAGAGTCATGTTTGTTTATGTTCCCTACATAAATTATATTCATTCAACTTAGTTTCACCCCTAATTTTCCCCTGGTCACCCCCCCCACCACCACCACCACCACCAATCCAACCCACCCTCCAGTGGCTGTTATCAACCACTGCTATAAACCATGAATAATTAATAACATTGCTATCCTCTGACATGGTCTTCCATTTTTCATTTTCTTGGCCTGTGAGCTAATAGCAGGAGAGCTGAGACACCTTCATATTCATGTACAGGATGGAAGGGATAAAGTGTGTTATGAAATACATGTAACAAACCAAACATGAGATTTGCATGTCTAAACAGCTTCAACAGACCTACATACAGAATGTCATATATAATGAAGTTTGAATTAATTAGCACAAGACAAAAAACAAACATGTTGTCCATCAAAATTAGACTTCATCCATTTGAATGCATTTAGTGAGAAAATCCACAAAAACATCCAGAGGAAGTTCTCAGTGATCACCAGCTAACCTTTTTACTGCACTGTGGGCAGGAAGTACTTTGGACATAAATTGTAATTTCTCTGCTTGATTCTACTGAAAGAAAGCAGCACAGCTACTTCAGGATCCCTGTCAAAACCCAGGGAGATGAAGTTCAGTGCTTTCAGAAAGTCTTCAGATTCCATTTGCCTCCAATTTCTCTGATTGTTACTACACCTTGACTGGATTCCACCTGTGATAAATTCAATTGATTGGACCTGATTTAGAAAGACACACACCTGTCTATATCGGGCATCACAGCTGACAATGCAGATCAGAGCAGAAACCATGAGGAGGAAAAACTGCAGAGCTCAGAGACAGGAGTGTGTCGAGGCTCAGATCTGGGGGAAGATACAAAACATTTCTGCTGCACAGTGGCCTCCATCATTCTTTAATGGAAGGAGTTTTGAATGATCAGGACTCTTCCTGCAGCCGCCCAATAAAACTGAACAATCAGGGCAGAAGGACCTTACTAAGAGAGGAGACCAAGAACCCAATGGTCACTCTGGCTGAGCTCCAGAGATCCTGTGTGAGGATGAAGAAACATTCAGAAGGACAACCATCACTGCAGCTCTCCGCTGAGTGTCCAGATGGAGCCTCTCCTCAGTGACAGACCCATGACGGCACCAGAGGACTCAGACTGTTGCAAACAAGCTTGAAGTGTTTGGCTTCATGTCTGGATTGAACCAGACCGCTCATCAGCTGCCCAGTGGTGAAGTGTGGTGGGGGCAGCATGATGCTGTGGGGGTGTTTTTCTGTTGGCAGACAGGGAGACTGGTACAGAAAGATCCTTAATGAAAACGTGGTCAGAGCACTCAGGAAGGTTGAAGGTTCACCCTCCGACAGGACAATGACCTTAAGCCAAGGAGTGCAACTCTGTGAATGTCCTTGATTTCACTTCAACCCAATCGAACATCTCTGAAGAGACCTGAAAATGTCTGTCCACCGACGTCCCCATCCAACCTGACGGAGCCAGAGGATCCAGATGTGCAGAGCTTGTTGTGTCAAACCCAAGAAGACTGGAGGCTAATGATGAGTCATCGGGTGTGGGAAATCTCTTTACCGAACCTTTCCTTTGCAAGAATAAATAGAGCCGGATTCATACCTTAAACATCATCACACCACTCTAACAAAGCCCTGGCAGATAGTGCTTTATTCATGATAACACTGGCTTTTAGATGATATCCCTGTTAAGTGAATTATTCATTGTAAGCTACAGATGACTTATCTGTTCTCTTTAAGCCATCTATGTTGACATTTTTATCTCAGCGCTTACTTTCAGAATAATTTACAGCACCAATATGCTGAGTATTCTTCCAGCGTACAGGAGGTAGCCTTGATGCACCGTGTTGCCTTGACATTGTGTCATGGATAATGAAAAATACCATCTGACTTTTACAGGCCTCTCTCTTTCTCACTCTCACTCTCACTCTCATTCTCACTCACTCACTTTAACCCATAGAAGTCTCCACAACTGCAGGGAGGGAAGTTTTCATCTGGCTGCGAAACTTTGTATTTGACCTTCTCGCCAGTGGAGATGTTGTTTCAGTAGAAGCTACGCTCAGCCAAGGAGAAAATGCTTGGAGGAGGCAGCACAGGGGGAGGACTTTTCAGATCAATTTTCCTCCTGGGAGACTGCCTGCCTGACTTTTGTTTTTTCTACTTTCTTTTTTTTGTACCAGCAGCTACAGTGAAAAGAAACAATTTTGCCACAAAGTGTCATGTCAAGGTTATCCTGTCTTCTTCATCCTCTTGTGAAAAAAGAGCACTAAGAGATTTTTTAAAATTTATAATTATTTAAACACAAATGTAATTTGAAATACTTCCCATAGATTTAATGTTTAGGAGGTTTGTATGGAAGTGTATTAAAGTAGTTCAGAAATGTAATCTGTGTTTCCATAATTAACAGAATGGAAAGTTAAAGTTTCAAATTCAGATTTGAAATATCGTTTCTTGTAAATCGACTGCACAATATAAATATAGTCCATTTACCACTCAGAGGGGCATTTTACTGTTTCACTATGATGATTGAACATAGCAGTTTGTGGTTTCATTCAAAATAGATTAACTGAATGATCTGAAGAGGGATTGGCTCAAATGTCTCCAAGCCCACAGACCAAGTGCTTATGGATGTATGAAGAAAAACTGGACATGTTATTACAAAATGGCCACACTTTTGCTCTTATTGTAATTTCTTTTTTACATAAGCTGAAAAAGTGTTTGTTTCTTCTAAATGCAGCACAGCTGTTCACACACACACACACACACACACACACACACACACACACACACACACAAAAGCTTTTCTGGGCTGTAAAAGGTGTAAATAATGCCTGAATCATAATGGCTTGAAAATTAATAATTGACCTTGTGAGCTTTTAGACTTTTAGCTTTTTCAACTGTTTTATAAGTGTGTCTTTTAAAATGGCAGAATTGTGTCCGTGGTTTTCATCACATCCATACAGCTCCTCCTCTGCGCCCGGCGCCATGTCCTGATGGTATCAGGCAAACAGACAACACATCATCAGGAGAACTGTGGGTCTTTTATTACTTTGGTCTTTTATTACAAAGAATTTACCCCCTGTTTCCACTATGGTGAGGACACACTTTGGCCTCTGTTCAGGAGTAAATATAGTCTGAGGCATCTCATACATATGCAGCTATCTACATTTATTTGCACGAATGGACTAAAGCCTCTGTAAGAGCCAAAAGTGACATGACCTTTTGTCACAAGGCACCACCCTCTGATGTCCTCAGTCTACAGCACACTTCACTGTGGAGCCTTCCAGCGGTCATTTCTCTCCCCATCCACAATCAAGGATGTTAAACTGCAGCTTTTATGTGTCAATTTACATGTACTTTACATAAACATATATATTAACATGGAAGAGCTGTGTACATATACATACATGCATTCCCACTATTTGCATATACATATAAACAAATTACCTGTGTGAAAGTTGTAGTGAGTGGAAAGGTCATATATATACAGTAAATATATATATATATGTCAGAAATATTTCATAACATTTTATATTGACTGTACGATATGTACAAAATGTCATTTACAGATTCCACAACATGTATGTTTCAGTGCATCTCGAGGAGATTTACTTTAACAACTCAAGTGTAGCTTTGCTGTCACCAGCAGAGATGTTTTGGGAATTGCCCTCGCAAGCAGTGAGCTGCACTCATGCATAAGGAATGAAACGCACCGGACTGCAGACTAACTCATTCACCTTTATTGCTCAGCCACCACTGCCATGGCCAGGAGCATAACAGCAGCAGATGGTGCACAACACTACTTTTAGCATTCTGTGATAAAAAAAACTAACAAAACAAACAATCACATGAAGCAGAAGTTCCAGAGGAAAATTAAATACTTTAGTTTTACATTTATTAATGTGACTGTTAAAGAAAACATGACTGTTACATGTGTCTGGAGAGAGGTGGCACCAGTTCAAAGATGTACTCTCAGATTAATGTCCACAGTGATTACCTCAGAGCTAAGATCATTAGGTTCATATTTCTCCTTGTCTCGTAATGCATCTGACTGGCAAAGAGAGTGAATAACGAGGTCAGAGGGGCCGAGGCCGAGGCACAGTACGTCTGTGAGACAAACCAACATGGAGAATTAAGAACAGGCCAGAAAGGCTGAAGCCACGAGAGCTGATGTTAAGAAAACAGAATAATTCAAAAGTGCATAAATGAAACAGACAGTTTAAAGGATGAGGTCTAACATCCAAACAGTTCCTGAAGCGCATCGCAGAATTAAATCCAGGTCTTGAATCCGGTTTAACTCTTAAAACATATATGATATGTGTAGACTTTGATCTTTCATTCTCTGTTACATGAAACACTTAAAACTGATAACTGATAAGTTACAGTATTTTTCATCCTCATATCAAGGATTTGCCTTTATTTAGGATTTAATTTTATATAACAGCAGAGAGTTATAGTTCCAGTGTCTAAGAACAGTGCTGAACACAGAGGGTAGGCAAGTACATGTATTCCTCCTATATATTTGCATTTAGTGTATATTAAGACAACTGAATTCAATGTGAACAGTATCTTTATTTGAATTGTGAAAACACACACACACATAAAAAAGGTTTACCTAAATAAGCAGACACCCTGTGAAATCATCTTATCTGAAGACATTTTTCTGAAGTGCTGGTAAAAAAAAAGAAACCTGAGTTTACTCCAAGTCCACGGTGCAGCTTTGGTTCATCAACAGAATGTGAAACGGGTGCTAGATACAATTTCCTCATATCTCTTTGGCAGGTTGAAGAGTGATCAGTTACAGTATTCAGTCTCAAAAGGCTTTGATCAGTCATGTTTTATACAGTCTGTGAAAAAGGACCAGACAAAATATTTACACAATTGTACGGAACAAATCAATAAAAAATGTGTTTTATTCATATTTAAAGCACATCATTGTTCTTCTTCTGTAGAGTATTCCACTTGGGGGAGCTGAGTTTTGCATATAACCCACTTTCCCCAAAATAAACTCCAACAAGCATCTTTTAGTTTAATTGATGTTAATTTCTATAGAATTTCCAGTATAAACACAAACTGGAGTTTTTGTAAGTCAAAGGACACCCTGATGTCAAGGTTAAAACTGGGCTGAATCTAGCTGAATAAGAGCATGTTTTTAGATATCTGGATCACATGTAGCCATTGATTCAAAAGGGAAGAGTTGGACTTGTTTCACATGGAAATGTGTGTAGCTGTCTTTTGACCAGCAAATCCCCAGATAAGATATGTTCTGTTGATGGTATAATAAGTTATTCAGCAGCAGTGTTCTCATGAAATCTTAACTTTAGGTCATTGTAATGTGAAACTTCATTACTTGTGTTGTTTCATCCATCAGCCAGTACAGAAGAGTTTATTGTGGAGTACATGGTTCATCAAGTCCTCTAATCCATGGAACCCTTCACCGCTGACTGAGGTGGAGCCGTCTTCTGCTTGGCCTTGGTTTTGTGGCTGTGACTGTCACATAGACCTGACTGTCTGCTGCTCGGTTTGCACAGCTCAGGTTGAGAGTTTGAACTGCCGGGCGATCTGGTCGTAAGCAGGCCGGAGGTGAAGGAGCCGGGGATCTGATAAGGGCTGAATCGGAACCAAGGGCGAGAGCTGCGGAAACAGTGGCTCCTGGCGAGCGATGAGGTTGCAGAGGAAGTGGGGAGAGCCGGGGTGAGCGCAGCTGGAGCTGCCATGTAGCAGTATGGATATGACAACAATCCTCCAAAGGGTGACAGTGAGATTCCCTGTATAAAAAAATTAGAGAGTTCATTTGATTTAAAATCTTTCATGGACATCCTCGTAGGAAAATAAAAATATTACTTCAACTTCTGCTTCAGTGATTTGATTTAGTTGAAACTGGTTATATAGTGGAAATCCATTCAATCTAATCCTATCAGGTAACGGTGTTATATTCAACGCTCACTGACCTGCCTGTTGCAATCATATATCTTCATACTGTAATTAAGTCGGTGAGAAATCAAAGTTTGTCTGTCTTTGGGAAATTTAGAGAAAATAAAAAGGTACGTCTTTCTTGATGCAGAGCCATGTGTCTGTGCCCCTCATCACAGGCTGTGATCAGGTCAGCTCACGATGGATTTTACCTTCTACAATTAGAAAAAAGTCACAAAAATATCAGAAAAAACTGCCTTTATTTCCTAGCCCACTAATAATCTTGCAACCGTCTAAAATGTATCTCACACCCCCTTGTGAGGGTCTCCACCTCTAGGTCGAGAACTGCTGTGACTTGCAACACGGCAACAAGTTGACACTGTATTTTCACACTGTCAGTTCAGATTGTTTCTCACCAGGAGCCTTTGTGATTTTTTAATGGATTTTTTGGGAAAAAAGTAACTTCATCAACAACTTATGGATCATCATTTCCCTGCTGAATGATATGATTTTTATTTCATGTTTTCAGGTTGTCCATCCGTCTGATTCTCGTGTACATGATATCTCAGTAACGACATCAGAGAACTTTGTCAAATTTGGCACAAACATTCACTGAGACTCAAGGACGAATTGATTAGAATTTGGTGGTCAAAGGTCAAAGGTCAAGGTCATGGTGACCTTGCAAACATGTTTTTTTGCCAAGATTCATACACTAATTATGACACAATTTAACTCAAATGTCTAACAGGATCAGATGAGGTGATGACATTTTATATCCACAAGATCAAAGGTCAACTTCACTGTGACATCATAATGTTCTGTAAAAACACCTCTGGCCGTTATTCAACACTGTAACTCAGGAAGGAGAGACTGTGACTGTATTTCCTGTAACTTGATTGGTTGGTGGTTGGATTTGTGATTCTAGTTCCTGATTTTTTCAAACAATAATTTCAACAAAAAGTTGTTTTTTAATCAGACCTCACTGCACTGCATGTTCAGCCTAATGGTTGCCTGTTGCTTGGTCAATATGTCAATAAAAGACTCTACTGATTGTATTAACTGTAATGTAATATCAGGTAATCAGTCAATCAGGTAATGACTATAAAAACACAAGTTAAATGGAAGTTTTTCCAAATTACAAATTAAAAGCCACCCAGTTTTAATTTAGTTCTTTCTGTTAAATCATTTACAGAGTTAAAAGCATTAAAGCAGATTACTCTGGATAATCTGCAGATTTCACTGTGAACACTTTTCACTGAAAGTCATTTCAATCTCAATGTAAACCAACAGTTACATATGAAGATTATCCTCAGAGACTACACCACTGTTCCTGGAAAGACACTTTGCTGTTGAGTAAAAAGTGAGGAAGAGTTTTTTTATGATTCAGGTGTACTTATCCTAAAGAGCCAACAAGCTTGAACTACAGCCTATGATCTCTACTTATATTACATTTATTAAAATATGTGGGATATTAGAGGTACCTGAGATGCCAGCATGTGCTGTGACAGGTGCAACATGAAGGGGGATGGAGAGGTGATGCTTTGAGGAGACAGGCCTCCAGTTTCTAGTTCATTTGCTCCAGACAAAGAGGAAAATATTTGTCCCATACCCAAAGTGGGAAAAGCCTCTGGCTTCGCTGACAACTGTCCAGGATGAAACAACATAGGTGCCCCAAGCTTGAGAAGCTGCTGGCTGTGAGCAGCTGAGAAATCCACAGTCTGCAGGTGAGCGGAGCCGAGGGATGATGAGTTCTGTGTCTGCAGCATCACAGGCATGATCCCGTCTTTGATTTCACTCTGGTGCTTTTTCTCCATGGAGAACGCGTCATCTGATGATCTAAACTCTGTTCTGTCCTGTGTTGTGTCCTGATGCTCCTTACTCTTACTGGCAGCATATCTTTTCCACAGTATCTCCTCACTTGTATGTTCAGCCCTGGAACAGCTGGCTTCAGCATGGTCCTCACGTTGTAGATCAAAATCTGAATCACTTCCAGTATTGTTCTCATCTGTGGGAAAAAAAATCATATTAAACGTATTTGTAGTAGTGTTTTTCTGACTTGCTCGTATCTCATTAGTTCACAGTGACGACAGAGGTGATGGACACTTGCGAGAGAGATGACTGAGTGCAAACATCTAGAGCCCTGAAAGAGACAGTGTTCATGTGTGACTGACCCCGAGGCACCAGGAACAGTTGATTCATTGAAGCAGGAAACTATTTTGGTTGTGTCAGAATGAGTCAGACAGTAAACAGTGGTTCAAATCCACCTCCCAAACAACTTCCCTCCATATCTGCATATTCACACCGTCAGCATCCTGGTCCTGTGGTAGTGAAGATGTGTACCATGTACAGTTACTGCAATTCCCACTCCACAGTTCAGTTCTAGCCGGACTCATGTGTAAACCTCTTCCTCCTCTGTCTGTCAACTGTCCAATAAAGACAGATATGATAGAGAAATATAAAATAAAATAATGTAAATGAATTTAAAAAAAATTAGTAAATTAAAACTTCTTAACTTGAGGTCCACTTACTGTCCGATGAAGACCACTCTATGTGGTTGGAAGCTAGTTAGTGTACAATAAGTTAGGCTTTTTTTCTGTTACATATAATGACAATCATCCTCAGTGAGGTGAACAGCTCAGAGCCAACAATAGGCCTTTTTCACAGGAGGCTCCTGTAATTTCAGGGTCCTGCAGGGACTGACTCACTTTCACACTGCCGAGCTTTAATGGCACACTTGACTAGAGTAGTAACACCTGTCTTCCAACTATGAGAGGTTAAAATGTCTGCTGTGAAGAAGGCTGAGAGATGAACTGATGGATGGATAAGAAAACTCCTGAATACTCCTAAAACAAAGAAAAAAGTAAAAGAAAAAGAAAACACAATAAGAACTGAAAATGTTGAATTATAATTGAATAGTTTATTAGTTGCTTTTTATTCATTATTTTCTTCCATTGCTAATAAAAACACATCGGTGGAAGGATCTGTTTGTTTTATCAAAATGAAACTCATATACATGCTTAATTTAATTTAATTATTTTCGTAACATGCCATTTTTATATTTCAGCATTCCTGAGTGGGATTAATTAAAATAAAGGAATCATGATTCTAATGTGCACAGTGAGTCATAAAGGACAGAGGACAGAAGTCCTGTCTGTGTTTCAGGGATTTATTTTTTCATCACACTAAATGTTATTATTACAAAAACTAAAATCTGAAATATGATAAATTATAACACACCCACCCACCACATACATATTTGTACAGGTCCTGAACATCATTTCATATATCTATAAGGTTAAAGGTTGCAAGCTGTGTTTAATATATTAGATCAACACACTGTCCTAAAGAATCATCTGGGTTCATAGAAACACTTCATGGCTTAATATACTGTCAGTGAACCCACCTGGACAGGTTGGGGTGGACATCAGGGGGCTGCTCACTAACTCCCCAGGGGAATAAAAGGGATCACTGGTGCTGGGTTGTTCACAGGAGTCATCAGAATCAGCACTGTCCCGGTCTTTACTTTGGTTCTCATGCAGCAAAGAAACATTCAGCTGTTTGTTCCTGCGGATCACACTTTCACATTAAATACAGACTTCCAGGTCCTTTGCTGTTCAGATGTTTACTGGGGCATAAAATAATTACCTCTTTTCTCGTCTGCCGTTCCCAGTGTCTCTGAATCCTTTGGCAAAAGGATTATTGTCGATTTTTAACTGTGTGATCTACATGGAGCAAAAAAATCTTAAAGTTAGTCAATGCAAAAGTGCAGTGACAGATTAAGTGTAACATCAACATCCGCAAATAATACAAATACATATGTGGAGCTGATGGAGGCTCCATTTTCACTCCAACAGAGCCATACTCATGTTTCTCTAATCTCTCCACACAAATAAAATCCACATCACTGCACGCAACTAGAGGTCTGCTGTGCGTGCATGTGGCTGCGGAGGGGAGGGGTGGTGGTGGTGGGTGGCGGTGGGGGTAGGGGGGTGTTACCTTTTCATTCTGATAGGCNCAAAAGGATTATTGTCGATTTTTAACTGTGTGATCTACATGGAGCAAAAAAATCTTAAAGTTAGTCAATGCAAAAGTGCAGTGACAGATTAAGTGTAACATCAACATCCGCAAATAATACAAATACATATGTGGAGCTGATGGAGGCTCCATTTTCACTCCAACAGAGCCATACTCATGTTTCTCTAATCTCTCCACACAAATAAAATCCACATCACTGCACGCAACTAGAGGTCTGCTGTGCGTGCATGTGGCTGCGGAGGGGAGGGGTGGTGGTGGTGGGTGGCGGTGGGGGTAGGGGGGTGTTACCTTTTCATTCTGATAGGCAGTGACAGCGATGAACTCCGTCTCCGGGAAAACGTAAGTCCGGAAGGTGCTGTATGGAAGCTTCATGATGTCGTTGGCTCTCACGATATGAAATCTGGGTTGGTATTTATGCATTGAATTCAAAATCGTCTGGAAAATTAAAGACATGTGACACATCACTGAAATGATATAATTATAAAATGTTGAAAAAGAGGCAACGAGGTCAATATAAAGTCAACATTAGTCATAAAAGCCACAACAATTCACATTTCAGTTACTTACAAATCCGTGTTTATCCGAAATATTGTTGGTGAGTTTGAGTTTGTGGAAAGCCACGGGCTTGCTCATCCACTGCTCCCCTGTGGACGGGCTGTCAGGGTGGATGTACATGCGCTTTGGCATCTCCGGGTCAGCTTTTCCAGCCACCATCCAGCGGGAGTTGTGAAACTTGTAGCGGCAATCATCAACGGCCACGATGTCCATCAGCAGGATGTACTTTGCTGTTTCATCCAGCCCCCCCACCCTCACTTTGAAAGGCGGAAACATCCTCCTGGAAACGAAGAGTTGACGATTAATTAAACATAATTTGGAGTTTATCATTAATAACGTTGAAAGAGGACAACAGGACAAATGACAGGAGAGAAGAATGGAGAGTTTTTACTTGACAGCAAGAAACAGATCCCATAATAAAATGATTGTGGTGGTAAAATAAGATCTTTCTGGTTTCTTACCTTCCAGATTTGGTGATAACCATCTCAGTTCCCATTTTGTGAAACTGATTCCATAAATTCTTTGATTCCAGTGTGACTTTCGGCTCATCATCCTGACCTTCTTCTGGCTGCGGGCTCTTCAAGGAACTCGGGTAGACTGGTGTCGGATGCTGGTGTCGCAGAGCTGCGCGCAGCCCCGCGTCAGAGGCGGCTGCCCGCTCCGACAGAGGCGCGGAGAGGGAGGCGGCGTCTGGGAGAGTCAGCGCCGGGAAGAACGAGGGCTGAGCGGCGGTGAGGAAGGCTGACAGTGGCAGGGCACCTGGTCTATGAGCGTGGAAAGGATGGTAAGTCATGGCAGCCGCTGTGTCAACTGGATCTCTCATCGGGGCGTCCCATCACACACGTCAATATGATGAAGTCTCACTCTTTGCTGCTGCAGGCGCACGCGCCTACATCCATCCTGCTCCGACCTGATGAAGAGTTTGAATGTTTGCAGCACGTGAAAGAAGGTCACAAGAGGAAATGAGAATTTCCAAAAGTCTCCAGATACTGAAGCAGAAACAAGAAGAGTCTTTAATGCGCTGGTGGATCCAGCGAGGAGAGCAGCGCGCTTTGGAACCATGTGCCAAACTGAAGTGGCACCGGGGAGGGACGCAGAGAGAGGCGGAGAGGCGGTGTTTACACCGTCTCTGTTTCCACCCGGAACACGGTGCGTTAATGAAGCAGTTCTTAGAGAGCCTCACTATCACCGTCTACACTGGGCGTGGCTTGAACCGGACTACGGAGGGATCTCAGGGTTAGATCGGGACAACGAGCATAAATAGTAGAAATAAATACCAGAGCATGAATGAACGAAGATCTCTGGAAGTTTCAATTATTTATGCTAAAAATTATCCTATATGAAAGCCTATATATAGTAATGATAATGATAATGATACAATGTATTTATTATGATCATGATTATTGTTCTAGCTAGAGGTTGCGATAATAATAATAACAACAATAATAATAATAATGATAATAATAATAATAATAATAATAATAATAATGATAATTTGGAGGTCAGTGTTTCTGACATCAGTTTCTGCTGTCCTGACACAAAGGCCTGAATCCACTTCAGAGAAGTTTGCAGATGTTGAAATTAACAGTAACTTAAAAAGAACAACAACGTGTTGTTTGATGAAGTGGGTCTGCATGTGTGTTAATTCATGCGGACTTGGCGCCGGTTTGCTGGCGTCCCACAAAGAGCCAAGAGGTCTCTCCTGTCACTTCACATTTAGGCAACTCTCCAAATCCTCACGTTGCCTGTTCCATTTTCCTCTGTGCTGCAGCTGCTCAGGCTTCACTGCTTTAGCCTTTGTGAACCAGGAGAAAGCTTCAATAAATAATGAACTGTAGAAAAATCCAAGAATCTAAAGGAAAGCAGCACTTCTCATCAAACACATGAAAATTAGGCTCTTCAGCAAGAGTTGAATATTTTTATTATTTACTGCTGTGAGTTCATTTTTAAATCTCCCTTCAATAATGAATCCATCAATAATTATTGTTTAGTAGAGTCTAGATGTTTTTGGTAAAAATCCAAATCGAAATTTAAATTTATATTTAAATGCAGTGGAGTTTTCTTGAGCCTTGTAATCAGCTTTATCTTTCTTTCTTTCTTTTTCTTTCTTTCTTTCTTTCTTTCTTTCTTTCTTTCTTTCTTTCTTTCTTTCTTGTAATACTCCCTGTGAGCAAACAAATATATTTCCTGTAATTTGATTGGATATGATGATTTTCATCATCAGAAGCTTGGACAGTGATTGTCTGTACGTCTCCTACTCACACCTTCTTGTCACTATTCATGGGAGGTCAGATCTTAAAGATATTTTTGTGTGCCATGTCCTCAGCCTCTCATATTGCACCTCAGTATCAGAATAACAAACAGCCTGGTGCCCAGAGCATGTGACTTACATCAGTTTATGTGATGACATCATCACTTAGAAAATAAAGACGTTGAGTGTGAAGCTTTTATAACTTTCCTTTCACAGGACTCATCAGGACTAACAGAAAGATAAACTCACACTCACAGTTAGACTCTCTACCGCTAATCTTCTCTTTTCTTTTCTTTTTGATCTTTAAGATGGAATCTGTAATTAAATGACTTTTTTTCTTCATTGACATAATTTACAGAAGTTTTGGGACTGTTGCATGTTATTACAGAGGTTAGTGTGCAGATAATGCACTATACATTTCTGACATGTTTTCACTCATTGGACTTTACAGTAACATTTGTGCATCTGATTTGCAATAATGTTAAACTTTTTTGCTTTTTATCTATTTATTTCAACTCCTAAAACATGAAGGAGTATTGCATACATGGCTGGAGTGCCCTGTTTTCTCTGTGGGCTGAAGCACTGTGAGTGCAGGCTGAGGTGGAGTGTTGCTTGACAGTTGCAAGGCAGGAAAAGCTCAGGATAGGAAGTGATCTCAGAGGTCCCACAAATGATGAATGGTTCCCAAGACAGTGAAGGGTAATAACTTGTAATCAAAGCCATAAGAGGAGCACAGAGAGGCGTGATAGAGAGAAGAAGGACAGGAAGACATCATTCTCCATGTCTGTCTGTAAACATTCACAGAAATGTGTGGCGTGCATTAGGTTGCCAGCGGCCTTCCACAACACAACACTGTGCCATAAGTCTTGGGTTGAGGAGGGGAGTGGCCGTGGTTGGTTCTGCTTTTCCTGATTCAGCACCACTGTGTGGGACGGTCTGAGACACACCACCATGTTTGTGTGGTGCAGCTCGAGCAGACAGCACGAGAGAAGCGCCAGAACAGGAAGGAGACAATCAATCTGAGTGATGTTGCATGAATTTCACCTCTCTGGTCACAGTCCACACCTGGGACAAATTCAGTAGAATGTTAGATCACTCAGGAGTCAGAGTCAAACAAAGGGCAAGTGAAGTACACAGCACATCTGAAGGCTGGAGAGCTCTTAAATGACAAACGGCAGGAAGACGACAGCAAAGTAACTTTAGTGAGGACTTAAGGCCACACCACAAGTGTTGGCTGTGCTCTGTTTTTTCATCATGGCGTCATACTGGTCACATGATGGACACAACATGTGGATCTGGTTATCTCGACTGGAAGATCTAGAAGCGGAGATCAGTGTAGCTCTAAAAGAAAGAAGCTGAAGAGGGAGGAAGTTCACGTGTTCAGTCAGAATCTTTTCTGTAGTTTGTAGAAACATTTCATGGACTTTCATTACAACATATGAAAAATATGTGTTCATACAGCCACATACAGTTACAGTGTATGTGTTGCTATGTGGAAACGTCCACGCTTGTCTGAGTGATTCACCATGAAATCAGATTCTCAGCCAAAGCTCAGACTTCATTTCACTTTCTGAGTTCCAACAGATGAATGTGAATGTGGCTCATTATTACAAAGGGTTTAAGATAATTAATGTCAGAACTTTGGTCTGTTACTTTATTTACATATCATTGCACTTTTACACCACACTGTGGTACAACTACAGCGTACATAGACTACATACACACAGAGAGAGAAACAGCCTCACTGAACATTTATTGCAGAGTTTGCAGTTCACTTGTACTTGTCCTAAATGTCCATCTCAGATTTATCAATGAACGTCTTCTGGGACTTTTCTAACAGTGAATCATAAACTGACGAGCTGTATTTTGGTTGCAAATCCTTTGCAGCTAATGTTTGGGTGAAGTCACCGACTGACTACTCCCAAGAGACATTTGGTATCTGTGATGCTCTGCTATTCACTCAGCCGTCTTTAATCAGCTGACATGATCCATTCTGTTCAGGAGGTAAAATAACATGAACTTTCACTGAGACAAGTTTTGATGGTAAAGCTTGAATTACACACCGAGAAAGTGTTGACAAAGCAAACGGCTCTCCTGAAAACATCATCATCTCAGCTTCAGACTCAGTTGACCCGTTCGTTTTCAATTTGAAATACTTGATTTGAGAGATCACTGAACTGAAGGTCCTGTAATATAAGCCTGAGGTTCACCAGCTCATTGGAGATCAGCATTTAAATAACTCATGGAACACACACACATTCAGTCATGTACACACTCTTCTCCTGTGTTATCCTGCACTGAAATCCACCAGCGTGCATGAAGCATAGTATTATCAGGGTTTTCTAAAGCCATTAACACTGAGGCAGACTGGTCGGAGGTTATTACTCTGGCTTGACCTCATCCTTACACGCATCACCTCAGCTTTATTTAGCTCAAAGAGGAAATGAAGGCTAGAATCAGAGGCAGGATTGATGTATAAGATCTTTCTTTTCTTACTTTATCCAGTTTTGGTTTGTGTTTTCGGGACAAATTAGTTATCATCTTAAATTAATTCTGTTTTCATGCACAATCTGTGACAGAAGGCCAGTGCCTTTACTTATGTTAGTGGCTTCTCTGCCATTTTCTTTTCTTAATAAGGACGTCATCTGTTTCCACACGTAAGAGTCCAGTGATAGGTGAAACTAGTACTTTGGATTGTGTTTGGCACTGTTGGATTTAATTAGTGGGGTCATTTCTATAGCTGGTTTGAGGCTGCAGGTTCTGGATTTTCACTTTGTGTGGCTTTGTGGATCAGTTGGTCCACCATTTTCAAATATCTCCACAGTATTGAATGGACCTTCATTTTATAGACTCATGTTTCCCAGAGGTTGAATACTGACTTTGTGTTCCTCTGACTTCTCCCCTGACAACACCATGAGGTAACATTTGCAGTCTTAAGAGAAACAGCTCTTTGGATGATTTACCATAAAACCTGGTACACACATGTCCTGGTCCCTTCAGGGTGAAGGAACATAACTTTAGTGATGTCTTAACTTTTCATCTCACTGATGAATCTCTCATCTCATCAGATCTCATCAAAGTGTCCAAAACGCATGAGCCAAATACCAAATAAAACAAAACCAGTGACATTCAATTAGCCTCAGCTGCACTTTGTGTTTTGTGCTAAATAGCAACACACTTAACAACAAGTTAACAAGTCCTGCCTCATAAAGCTGCTGGTGTATCTGTGGACTCTTAGTCTTGCTCTAACGTTGTTGCTCTAGCGTATAATGAAGTAGACAAAGTTAGAAATTAGAGAAGTATTAGACCTTTCATATAAAATACATATTTTTACACAGAACTGATTAAACACTCAATCAACTGAGGAAGTCTCAATAAATAATTAAAACTTTAAAGGAGCTATATGTAAGTTTTGCTATTGCTACATAGCTAATGTTAGCATTAGCAGCTGTTTATTTACTAGTCTAGAAGAAACATTGTGAGTTCAGCATCAATCTTCCTTCCTTTGTTCACCGACATCTGTCTCCAGAGGTGGAGACAAACACCAATGTTAACTCTTGTCTCTATCACGT